GAGACGGAGATAATATCACAAATCTGACGATTCTCCCTCGAATAGGCCTGCTTATCAAATTGGAAAAACGTTATTGTGAGGTTTGTGGTATTTCGCCCCCAGGTTTTTACTGCGTATCCAGCCCCCATCCCACCCGAACCACCCCGTCCATGTTTTCCAAACTGCTCATCTCGCCTAAGTCGAGATGCAGGACAAATACATGCCTTAGGGCGGGCGATGCAGGCGACGTCGAAGGGATGGGAGAGGGGGGAGGAGAGGGTTGGCGGTTGCCTCGGGACGTGCCATTTTGCAAGGGAGGAGAAGGGGGGGGGGATTACCCGCGATGCGCGGCTGTTTAGATTTATTGAAACCTTCACTAGGGAACTTGCATATGAGGCCATTTGTTGTGAGCTGGACATTGAGGTTGCGAGGTTGTGCGGTTCGCGGTGGTAATTGCCTTCATGCGTGCTCATATTGGTTGGACGTGCGTTTCCCGGTGGGCTTTCCGGAGTACGGAGTATGTACGTCCATTACCTCAGCTGAAGTAAAATCCACCGTCCCATATTGGACCCGACAGACCAGAGAGGCCTCAATTGGGGGCGAGGCCGAGATCATTAGGTCTTCAAGGCCCGAGCTCTGTAAGGAGTACAGCTTCATCTGGTACAATTATCAGTGAATACTATCATCTGCCGTCCAACTTTTGGGGGGTAGATTCTGATGCCGCGGCCTGCGATAGAGTCCAGAATATGCACCCCTTTTGCCCTCGATGGAACTCCATTGAACCTTTCTACTCGGTACGGAGTACGTATGGTTTGGCATAATGCACAGCTAGGAATTGGAAATGAGAAATTGAGGCTCAGCCTCAGCCCGTCCGTGGACGGACGGGAAGGAAGAAAAAAGAAAAAGGGGGTGAATGTACGGGATGTGGAATGTTGGACCCCTAATTCCCAAGTTGAGGGCAAGAAAAAGGGAGGGGGTGGAGACTTTCCCGCAGTACGGAGTAAGCTGTACTCTGTGAAGAAGTGAAGTAAAGGAAAGGGAAAAAAAAAAAAGAAAAAAAAAAAGAAACACAGACGTCGTTGACGGTTTGACGGGCTCGATGGTCCAAGGCGCCGTCGTCCTAGGGCCTCCCTTATCTAATTACGTCGCACTGGTGACGGGAGGCTAAAGGGAAGGCTAGCATGATGGTGTAATTAGATATTCTGCCCTTTCCGTTTTTCTTCGAAGGGGGAATACGGGTAGAGGGAGAAAACTCAAACAAGTTTGGGGCCCGAAGACAAGCTTGGCTAGCATCCGCGTGTCTGAACCAGTGAATAAGTACACGATGAAGCAATTCATGCTAGCGGAGATGTGCGCCGGGGAGTCGGGATGGGAGACTGTGACAATGTCCCAAGGTAGCGGCGGCGGCGCGAGAGACGGCGTAGGAAGAAACGGAGCCGCCGTGGGCGGTGTTCCGTGGGCGTGGAACGTCCAACGTGGGCTTTCTCTACGGGTTCACCTCGAATTGACAAGCAAGAGAGGTGTGTCGCGATGAGTGATGGGTTAGTTCTCCCCTATTATTATCCCCCTTTATTGCCGTATATTACGATTTCGTATGTTCCTCCGCGATCTAAGAAGAAATCTAAATTAATCCAGGTACGACGACGATTCGTCACCGATGAGCGGGACGGTGGTTTAAGCTATAGATGGGTAAGGGTAAGGAATGCCCTCGTACGTAAGAGTCTGGGAGCAGAGATGTCCTCCTTTGTGGTCTATATTGAGCACCGATGAGGATTCCGATGACAGGGAATCGGGGTGCGGCATGTCACGTCAGATAGAGAAAGGACGGGACGGAGACGCCATCCCTTTCATCAAAGTGACACCTGCGCATCTTTACCCCATGAAATGCGGTATCACATTCTTCTTAGCTGTCGTGGGTTTATTATGGAATTTTCTGTGACGAGATGGATGAACCCTGAAGCTTGATGCTCATCACTTTGCTTCCATTTCCAACCCCCCCACTTGACGAACTGAATGTTTGAATTTGTGTGAAACAGGAGAAGGGAGGCTTTGGTCTATCGATCTTCAAGCGCCGTCCGCGTTCACGCCTGTCAATCTTGTCAGTCTTGTCAATCTGTTTCCAGTTTCGAAAGATGGATGGTTCAACCTGAACGTTTCTGGTCCGTCTGGAATTCAGACGGTTTAGATTAACCCTTGGGACTAGCACGCAAAGCACGCAAAGCTGTCGTGGTGCCTGCAGTAGGTTACGGTTACGGTTACGGGTTCGGTGTCGCGTACCTGCCTTAGTGGTGGCGAAATATCCTGCAGTCGTCGTCGGCTTTGGTCATCTCGGAGCATGGTCACGAGATTGAAAGAAGAAGGTCGAACGTTGACATGTCACGATGTATCTCCCTCTGTGCTCCCCTCCTCCCTTTGGTTGGCATGTAAACTTGGTGCTGGCTCAGGGGACTTGCAGCGATGATCCGGACCCGCCAGAATGCAGGCGCAGAAGCTTAGAGAAGGTGCTTACAGCCACGACGTCACCGCTTCTTGTTCTTGCCTCTAGATAACTGGTGGACGTTTGACAGGAGGGAAAAACTTGATGATCTGCTGTTTTGGCGGCGGCGTGTTTTGGAGTTTCTCGAACGGTGAACCGGATCGTCAGGGGGGGAGGGGGGTTCGTTGATTCTGTCCCAATCAGGAAATGGAGGCCTGTTTGGGGGAGGTGTGGGGCGAGGCGTGGCAAAACGTGGGAGAAGTTGCCCCACATCATTTCAGCTGCCTCAGTCCCCCCCCCCCCCCCCCCCCCGTCTTCTTTGTGATTATGTAAGGCTGCCCTTCAGCATCACCCACGTGATCCCGCGCCGAGGTCGTAACGGACCGTTCAGGCCAAGCTCGGACGGATCTTCGCGCCGCTGAAGCGATGAAAGGAATGCAGGGGTCCCTAATTTTCCCCAGAACGACACATCAGTGACATCGCACTGCACATCATCAGAAACGGTTGTCTCTTACAAGCCCATTGCTGCCTTACTGGATCTTCAGGGTATCGTTCATTCGACAGTGCGTTGAAACGAGTTTGAGTCATCGGCCACCCGACTTTTCGTCATCCTCTTGGGCCACGTCCATTGCGCTAGAGGCCTCGGACTATCAGGGTCTTTGAAGTGAACGGTGGAGACAGAGCGAGGTGAAGGCAGCAGACGTGAACCGAATACTTGGATACACACGCCGGCTACCGCAGACGGCGAGGTGTACTCGTCACCCGGCCTTCACACCACAACATACGACACAAACACCACTGCCACGGCCACGACCATGGACAACGTCCTCGAGCTCCACGTCTGGGGCGCTGCGTTTGGCCTCCCCTCCATAGACGCCGAGTGTCTGGCCGCCATTGCCTATCTGCACACCGCCCTCCCAAGCTCACAATGGCGTCTGGTCCCGAGCAATGACCCTGCCGTCGACTCATCGAGTAAGTAGACCTGTTCACTTATTCACACTTACACCGGCCGGCCTTTTTACACTGCCCACCCCTTTCCACCGTTCGAGGGTTCACCGTTGGAAGACTTTCCCACGCGGCATCGTCCCATAATAACGACTCGTAACAAAGAAACCTCACAAAGGCTCACCCAAACACACAAAGAATCCCTCCCAGAAGACACAATGGGCCCCCCTTTACCCTCAGCCTCGCTAACGCCTACTAGACCGTCTACCGGCCCTCAAGGCCAACGGCGTCTGGGTATCGGGCTACGCCTCCATCGTGGCCCACCTCGCCTCCCTCGCGCCGCACTCCCCCTCCTGGGACCTGGACCTCGACTCGCGCCTCACCCCGTCCCAGCGCGCAGACGCCCTCGCCTACGGCGCCTACATCGAGTCCGCCCTCGCGCCCTTGCTCGACGCCGCCCTCTATGGCACCCACGAGAACTGGACCGCCGTCACCCGCCCCGCCCTGAGCCACCTCCTCGGCTTCCCCCTGAGCTGGACCGTCCCCGTCATGATCCGGAATCAGGCCACGGCTCGGTGCGCCCACCTCGGCCTCGACTCCCTCGGCGCCGAGGACGATGACGACGACGGAACCGCCGCCCCCAAGAACGGCGCCCTGGACCGCGCGATGAAGCACCTCCCCGTCTCCAACAAGAAGACCGTTCTCGAGGAGATGAAAGCCGGCACGGCGCGCGGCATACGGCTCCATGCCATCACCGTCGACGCCCTCTCCCCGCTCGAAGCCCTCCGCGCACAAGGCGAGGACTCACCAGGCGAAAAGAAGCGCTTCTTCGGCGGTGAGATCCCCACGTCCCTCGACTGCCTCCTCGTCGGCTACCTCGCCCTAATCCAGCAAGTCGACCTCCCGCAGTCCTGGCTCCAAACCATCCTCGGCAAGAAATTCCCCCACCTCGCCGCCATGGCCTCGGACCTCCGCGACGAGTGCCTCACGAACCCGGGCAACGCCCTCCCCTGGACGGCGGCACCTTCATCATCACTCCGTACCGCGGCGCGCTTCTTCGATAACGTCGTGCAGGCGACGCCGAACCTAGGCGAGGCGTACCTCCACGAGTGGCGGCGGAGGGCCGAGACCAAGGCCAAGGGGGCGGACCGGAGGACGCTTGCGCTTGCGGGCGGGGTGTTGGTCGCTGGCTCGGCGATCGCGTACGGCGTCTGGACGTACAAGAGTCTGCCGCCGTGGGGTCTGAGGACGCAGACGTGGGTGGCCGAGAAGAAGGGCTTGGGTAGGTTCGGCGACCTGGGCGAGATGCTCAACTTTTCGCTGGGACTTGCGGATCCGGTGCCGCAGGCGAGTCCAGCTGCCGGGTGTGGTTCGGAGCACAGGTATGTCGAGTCTGAATTGGCCGTCGACTAAAAGCTTGGACATGCACTATGAGTGTGGTATGGTGTGGTGAGCATTAGGAAAGGTTTGTTAAAAAAAGGGGGTAAGGCTGGCTGCAACATGACTTGGCGGTCACGAAACGAAAAAGGGGGCATATAGATCATTCGCAACTCTGGGGTCAGGGGTAGCATGTACGAAAAGGCCACATGGCTTGTGGCAATCCTAAAATGTACAATACTTTCTCGATTATCTTGGTTTTACATAGAACCGTTCATCATATCCATACTGCTGCACATGCTACTGATGCCGACCTGTAATGCTTTTATGCTGTTGTACACGGCCACTTTCATCAAGATGTGGAACTGGAAGTGTCGATCTCAAACGAGCCTCATCTTTCCAAGGCTTCTTTAGATCTGCCGAATCTCCTTTCCAACCATCTCGGGCCTCTCGACCTCCCACTCGTCACGCAGCACCGCAAACGTGAGATCGCTGACGAGCAAGCTCTGTCCCAAACTCCAGACCAACGTAATAGCGTAGAAGAAATTCGCGTTTCCGCTACCGGCATAGATCCACAGGTGGTAAAAAGCCGGGCCGAGGAAGGAGGCGTACATGATTGTCGCGGCGCCGACAAAAGTATACCGCATGAGCGGGAACACGTGCCGGAAGAGCGAGAGCATCGCCAGGAACAAGCTCGTGTCCGCGATGGACGGGTACGGCTTGAAGATGGCAAAGATGCCGAGGAGCAGCGTCAGGACGACGAGCGGCTGGGTGCGGATGCGGATCGTCAGGGGTCCGACGTAGCTGGAGAGGTGGAGCCAGAAGACGGCGAGGAAGAAGGGGCGGAAGGAGTCGAACATTTCGACGAAGAAGTACCACCACAGCCCCACGTTGGGCGTCAGGTCGTTTAGGGTGAGCTGGGCGCCGTAGGTGCTGGAGAGGAATTCCCAGGAGCCGCCGGTGAGGAGGAAGGACATGGCGAAGAGGGCGGCCAGAACGCCGGCGACGACGGAGACGTTTGTGAGGGCGAAGCGTTGGGTCGAAGGGTCGCGTCGCGTCGGTTCCTGACGGTCGTAGGCGAGGAGGACGAGAGGGGGGAGGAGGAGGGCGGGGTACATTGAGAAGTATGTCGCGAAGGAGAGGGAGACCATTGCGCCGAGGGGGGCGCCGGCGATGGCCTTTGCGACGGCGTGGAGGATGGCGCATGTTGAGAAGACGGAGGTGGAGCGGCCGATGCAGGTTGCTATCGTGAAGGGGTTGAAGAGGTAACTGGGGTGAAGTTGTCAGGCCGAGTCGCTTCGTGGGTGATGCGAGCGAGGGGGTAGCTTACAGTGATGCGACGACGAGGCCACTCCACCTCTTGCCGCGACGGGGAGAAGAGAAGAGGCGAGAGGAGCCGGCTTCGCCAGAGTCGGCGATCTTGGAGAGAGCATCCGCGCTTAGGATGTCGACGAGGATGTAGAGAAGGTATGTGAAGATTGGGAACGACTTCAGGTCCGGGAGGAGGGAGAAGAGGGGGAGGAAGAGGGGCGCTTGGTGATAGACGCCGCCGTCGTAGGGGGAGACATTGTGGTTGTAGAGGAAGAGTCCTTCCTGTACTGTATGATGACGCATCGTCAGTCCAAGATGTCCTGTTTCAATTGGGGATCCAAGAAGGGGGAGGCTTACATCGCTTGAAGCTCGTGACGGGGGTCGAGATCTCGACGCGGCCGGTAAGCAGGTCAGGCAGGCCGGGGAAGGCGACGAAGAGCAGCAGACGCAGCGCTGCTGCGGCGGCGTAGACGCCCGTCTTGCTCCCTCCCTGTGTACTTGTGCCGACGGTCATCCTTTAGTCCATGGTCCGGGGCGGGAAGTGTCGAGATGCGGGCTCGCGGGAGCTTCAAGGTTCGCAGTCTTAAACGTATTGGAGTTCGGGCGGGAGTCGGGATGAATAAGGTGTGGTAGGGACGGGGGTCGAGGTGGATGACACCTGGTGCTTCGACCGGGGCGCAGGTCCGCTGGGTGCGGGAAACCTATCCAGCGAATGGCAATCCGTCTTTCAGCGCAGTTGCACTTGGTTTAGTGGGTTGAACCCCTGGAGCTGGGGCCACAGTCCTGATTAGATAACAAAAGCCAATCAGCGATAATGACAGCCAAGACTAGTCCTATCTCGGCTGGCGAGGGAGCGGTCAACCACTGGCAGAAAATTTCAATGGAAAAAAAGTTCAGAGAGAAACTCGAGAGCGGTGCCCCGCCACGGCCAGAAGTACTGAAGAGCTTCTAAACCCGTCCAAGAACATACACCTTCTCACCCAAGTCAATTTTTTTTTACTTTCAACTACACAACCACGCCAATTTGCAAAAATGGCGGGACGAGTCAAGAAGAAGGGAGAGGCCGGAGCGGCCAAGAATTATGTCACCAGAAACCAGGCCATCCGCAAGCTGCAGATTAGCCTGCCCGACTTCCGCAAGCTCTGCATCTGGAAGGGAATCTACCCTCGTGAGCCGCGCAGCAAGAAGAAGGTTTCCAAGTCCTCGACCGCCTCGACGACCTTTTACTACGCCAAGGACATCCAATACCTCCTTCACGAGCCGCTGTTGCTCAAGTTCCGCGACCAAAAGGCCCTCGAGAAGAAGATTTCGCGCGCGCTCGGCCGCGGCGACGTTGGCGATGCGAAGCGCTTGGAGAAGAACGCCGCCAGGCCTGAGGAGACCGGCAAGCCGAGATACACCCTCGACCATGTCATCAGAGAGCGATACCCGACCTTTGTCGATGCCGTGAGGGATCTCGACGACTGCCTGTCCATGCTCTTCCTTTTCGCCAACCTGCCTTCGACCTCGTCCGTTCCCGCAAAGATGATTGCGCGCTGCGAGCGTTTGACCCTTGAGTTCCAGCACTACCTCATTGTGTCGCAGAGCGTCACCAAGTCCTTCCTTTCGATCAAGGGTATCTACTACCAGGCGAACATCAACGGCGAGGATGTCTTGTGGTTGGTGCCTTACAAGTTCAACCAGAGGGTTGTTGGCGATGTCGACTTCCGCATCATGGGAACCTTCGTCGAGTTCTACATGACGCTGTTGGGCTTCATCAACTTCCGCCTGTACACCGGCCTCGGCCTCAAGTACCCGCCCAAGTTTGACCAGACCAAGGACAACCAGTCTGCCGAGCTTGCTGCCTTCACCATTGAGGGACAGAACCTCGCCGCCCCCGAGGAGCCGAAACAAATCACCAACGGCGAGACCGAGCACAGTGTCGACCCCAAGACTCAGGCCGCGGTTGACAAGGTTATCAAGAAGCTCAAGTCTTCGGATGCCGACAAGGAGGAGAACAAGTCGGACGAGCAGACTGAGTCCGCAGAAGAATCCACAAGCGCCATCGACAAGTTCGAGCCTGCCGCGCCCGGCGGTGACATCCTGCCCCAGCCCGTAAGCTCGAGCACCGACAGAAACAAGCTCTTCGCCCACTGCACATTCTTCCTGTCCCGTGAAACTCCTAGACAACCCCTGGAGTTCCTTTTGCGGTCGTTCGGCTGCAAGCGCATCGGCTGGGACGCCGTCCTCGGCGAGGGTGCCTTCACCACCGACGAGCGCGACCCGTCCATCACTCACCAGATCGTTGACCGTCCCCCGATTTACGCCTCCAACAGCGAGGAGGGCGATGGCGAGGACAACCAGACATCTCAGAAGCTTGCGCCCAACCAGCGCATCCCCGGCCGGATATACGTCCAGCCCCAATGGGTCTGGGACAGCGTCAACGAGGAGGAGCTCAAGCAGCCGGACCAGTACGCTCCCGGCGCCCAGCTGCCTCCCCATCTCAGCCCCTTTGTCAGGCAAGTGCAGGGCGCGTACGACCCGACCGTGCCCCTCGAGGAGCAGGAGCCCGAAGGCGAGGCTCTTGCCGAGAGCGACGAGGAGATGGCCGACGACGTGGACGCTGGCGACATGGACGTTGCCGGCTCCGACGAGGAGGAGGAGGGCGAAGACGGCGAGGGCGAAGACTTTGACGGAGTCTCCGAGGACGATGACAATATCGGCTCCGAGAACGATGACGCCGATGCGCAGCGCCAGCTCGAGCTCGAGGCCGAGCTCACGGGCGGCGCCGTCAAGGCCAGGGAGACCAAGCCCAAGACCAAGAAGGAGGCGGCCCGCAAGGCGCACGCCAAGAAGGTTGCCGAGGAGGCGGAGGATATCGAGCGTGCCAAGGGCATGCTGAGCAAGAAGAAGAGAAAGCTGTTTGAGCAGATGCAGTACACTAATAACAAGAAGAGCGCCGCGGACGAGAAGCTGCGTGGCAAGAGGAGAAAGCTGGAGAGGGAGGCTGCTAACAAGAAGGCCAAGGCGTAGAGGTAGAGGTAGCGGTGGTTGAAGAAAAAGGGAGGTGAAAAGCTTGTTTGTGTTTTGTTTACTTCTAGAATGTGCAGTAGGCGTTTGTTATACCATAATTGTGGTGTTGGGACGATAAATACATGCCTGGGACACATGAATCGTACTCTCTATGAAAATGAGTGAAATGTCTAGTGAAATGTTGGTAGTATGGTGTTGTGAGTGACTACGTACAGAGTTGAAGTCACGTTATGCTACCCGTTTGTCTTTTCCTCGAGGCAAGTTTCGGTGAGATGTGGGCGGGTCCATTTTTCCTTTACTCTTCACCTTACTTCAACCCACTTTGAAAACCGCTGTTATTCACTTAGGCATTTCATTTGACCTTATTCAATTGATGCGTAATCTTTTCACACGTGAAGCATTGTTATTTCAACTTCATCAGGCATCAAATCCATGTCATGACGGCAAACGAGGAATCGTGGGACCTCGATACCGATGAGATTCGCTCCGTCGACTCTGAAGAGCTTTATGAGACGAGACCCAATCGCTGGAGGGGCAACAAGGCGACATGGAGCAGCTACACGCAGGAAGAGCGACTGCTCCACCGGTCCATGGAGCAACTCCGGAATCGCGACTTATCAGTGCACCTGTATAACGCGTTTGCGCTCCGAAATCGTGCTTTGCGCCCAAGCGCTGCGGCAGAGCCTAATGAAGCAGTATGTTTGATAGCAGTCCATCTCATCAACGCGACACGTTCTCAGTCACTCACATTTCTCTCCTTAGGATATTGACAGACCGCTGGAGGAAATCGTCGACAGTGGCGAATGGCGCCCGTCGAATCTATGGACGGCATGGCCCATGAACTCACGCATCGTGCCCGGCGACGACTTTTTAAAGGAAACCCACGATGAGGACGACGACTTCACCACACGATCCAGGAAGGAACAGCTCCCCAGCACAGCATTAGAAGAAGAGATGACGGCTACGATTCTCCGCCAGGCAAAGGAGCGCTTCCTTCGCCGGCAGCGCAAGGTTCGAGAGCGAGACCAAACTGCGAGGACACGGAATGAATCTGCCCACGAGAGGACGATGGCATCTTCCGCGTCTGCGCTTTCGTCCGCGGCCGACGACGACGACGACGACAATAAGGAAAAAGGAGGGGGAAACGCCCCTCCTCCATCCGGACAAGGCGCGCAAGCGGGTGTGTCCGATGTAGAGGTCGAAAAGCCGAAGCGTAGCAAGACATACGAGCCAGTCGTCTCCGCCAACGACGACCTCTCCGCCAACCTCCTCCGCCCCTCTGTCCGTCACATCCTGTCTACCCTCGACAATACCCTCACAGTCCTCCACAACTCCCGCCTCGCCGGCCTCAGCTACATGACCGACTCGTCCGCCTCCGCTACCGACGTGGAAGACGCCTCGGACGCAGCTAGCGTTTCGTCCGCGGCGTCACGGGCGTCTTCTTCGGCGTCGAAGCGTAGGAAGAAGGGCCGGCCTCGGAGCAAGGCGCCCAGAACCCCGGAGCCCGAGTGGACAAGGGCTCTCGAAAGGAGAGGTAGGCCGAAGAAGGTGGCCGTTCCGCTGCCTGGGGAGACGGAGAAGGAGATGAAGATCCGAATTGCGAGGTCACAAAAGAAGCGGATCCCGTTCTCGTCTGACGAGGAGGACGCAGCTGCTGGCGAGACGGAAGCAGAGGACGGTGTGAAGAAGACCGAAGGATCGGGAGAGGAGACGCCGAGATCAAGATCGCCGAGGAAGAAGCGTGATTTGCCAGCCGAGGCTCGCGCCGAGGCCAAGATCAAGGCCCGGGAGACGATGCTCGGGAACTGGGGTCTGCGAGATTGGAGCGACGTCATCGGCGCGGCGTCGCTCTCCGGCTTCAAGCCCGACGTCGTCGCCAGAGCGGCGCAGCGGTGCGCCGATTTATTCGGCCAGGGGATGGAGATGCAGACTCTGTTCGAGGGGTCTGCGTCAAAGGGGCCGAAGCCGCAGACGAGGCGGTATATCCCCGGAGGGGGCAGCAGCAGCAACCGCCATGGAGGAAGAGCCGGCCCCTACGCGGCGGCAGAATCCAGCTCAGAAGACTCAGACAACGAGAGACCTGCTGCGAAAACACGCCGTTTCGGCGCATCGTCTCGACAGAATAGTCTAGCACGCGACAGCATCCCGCCGAGCGACTCTGACGCCGCGGCACGAGGACGGAGTACAGGGGCATCAGCAGCAGTGGCGGCGCGACGGTCACGAAGCGCATCCCGCGCGTCCTCTGTGGGGCTATTCTTCTGTCCCGTGGCAGGCTGCGATCGCTCGTTGGAGGGGTTCGGACGGAGGGCGAATCTGCAGCGGCACATGGCGACGATGCATCCGGCTCGAGTGGGGGATATCGTGGGCGGCGGCAGCGACCGCTTCGATGTGGAGAGCGAGGACGAGATGGATGGGGCTGTGCACGTTGACGGGTTCCTGAAGCCTATCCGTCCAAGGAAGGGGTGGAGGGCCGAGGATACGGGGAAGAGGAAGCGCAAGAGGCATTATCGGGGGCGGAAGATGGACGGGAGTGATGGTGGGAGTGGTGTTGAGGAGGCTGTGTTGGATTCTACGTGAGATGTGGGATATAGTATTGTTGGTCGAGAATCTGGCGGACTTGAACGTCCCTTGACTATCATGGAGGAGGAAGCTTACTGGTGAGATATGTGGAGTGCAGAGAATCTACGGATGCCATGTTTCTTCATACATGGTTTCGAGACGGACAAAGCCTAGCAGACATCATATCACCAATACTTGGAGACCAGTGCCGGCTTGGAAACTTGCGCTCCACTCTGACTCAGTGAACAGTAGGTACGCACGTCTCAGCAGAAAAAGACTTCTTCGGGTTTACAATGGTAGCACGCACTATTGATTTCGATTTACATGTGGTCCCGCGGTGATATGGATGTCAATCGGTGACTTCCAAGGACAGGCCAGTATGCTCTGTTCTTTGCCAGCATGAGAACGTATTGCACCAGCTTCTTTCTTAGGGGGCCCAGACGAGACCATTGGCATCACTTTTGGGCAAACCATGGACACAGTAGAACTCTCTTGGCAGGATCAATGAATCTTAGCATCCATCCGCAACCATTAGTATCCCATGGCTATGGCTTAAAATACGGCTTCGTTTCTGGGACTTCTTCTCTGACATCTGGCGAACTCACGAAGTAGATTGACATCGTTGAAAGAGGGGTCTCGTAATGAATACTGTGAGCAGGTCTCTACCTTGTTTAAGTTCAGAACCACCCCAATCTAATCAGGTAGCGTTTAGTTCCGATAGAAGAATTGTGTGCGGAAAGTACCTTCATTTGCAGTATCACCGTCTCCTATGTGTGTCCCATGCCGGTTGACCAACCTCTTTGTGACAAAAGACCCTCCATATCAAGGAGGCATCAGTAACACCATAGTCAACCGAACAGATACACAAGCCATCCAGATGATAGTTTATGTGCTATTCAAACCTCAGATTTGCCTCACTTCGTTCCCGAGTCTTTGCTCCCTTTTACATGAAATAGTATGCTCATGCAACCGCCACCATCCCAATCAGCCTGCAACGGGAAGTTAAAAACACAACACAACCCCTCCCGAATGACTTGGGGATCTGCGCCAGGAGCTCTTTCACAAACCAGCCGCTATACCTTCTCAGAAAGGCCCGAGGGACTTGGGAACAAGGATGGAAACATGGGAGTTTCCCTCAACGTTAATTTGATCTCTACTTCAACAGGTGCATCCAAGCGACGTACTATTGCTAATGCACCTTATCAAAGCCGACAATTTTCAACTAGCTTACGCATACCAGCCACTTGCCCACTGAGAATTCCCACAAAGAAAAAAATCTACACTCCAAATACATAGGAAGAGACAGAAGAATGGGCGGAGTAAAACATGAACAAGTGACGACAATGTTGGAGGGGTATGAAAGAAGCCGAAGACGGGAGGTGTCAGAAAGTTTTGCTTTGAACTGTATGTACGCGCTTTTTATCTTGCTGTCATCAATCAGTCACGGAAGGGTGGCCGAGTTGGTTATGGCGCCAGGTTAAGGTCAGCTTAACATCTGTTTCCTGGTGGGGCAACCCGCGCGAGTTCGAGTCTCGTCCCTTTCATTTTTCGCTTTTTGGACAATTTCCTGGAGATGAATGTAAGTAGAAAGGCTTGAGTAATCATAGTTTTGATTTTCTTCGCGATATTCAAGTTGCTTTCCATCTTTTCGTCTATAATGGTGAGTTGCGAACACGCCTTGCACCACCCGCCGCACACGGATCTTCTCTTCCCCAACCACCCACAATCGTTCTTAGGACGAACAATACCCATTCCAATCTTTAAATGGATGCTTGTCGATTGTGCGCCGACCCGAGCCACTTGGGTTCAAACCAGACGCATGAGGGAGATGTATATATACAAAGAGTTTGATAATGCCATCTAGGTTCTGTTCCCTTCTCTCCCCCCTTATTCATCTTACACCGAAAGTCCTGACTCTAGAAACATTATCTTGGTCCCCAGCCTCGCCGCCGCTCTTACCACTCAGCCACCTCGCCGGCCTTGGGCGGCTGTACCCTCACAATTTTATCGCAGTTGAGCAGGCAGAGCGGGTCAAGAGCCTTCTTGATCTGTGAGGAAGCGTCGGGTTAGCACTCGTGTTTCCCAGTCAGTACAAGCATTCAAGGGAATAACTCACCTGTCTCATGGTATCGACGGTAGACTCGCCCAGCTCGTGGGGGAGGTAATCTCTCTTGACGAGTCCGACACCGTGCTCACCCTACAAGTCATGTTAGCAAATCCCGGCACTCATTACCAGCCAAAGGTCAAACGACATACCGTGACGGTGCCCTCCATCTCGACAGCTCTCTTGACCATGTTGTGAACCAAGTGCTCAGCCCTCTTGCGCTCCTGGTCATTGTAAAGCAGAATGGCTGCACCAAAATTTAGCACTCCATGACACGACAATCTTCAACCCTCTCACGTGAAAAGAAGGCGGAACAACTCACTGTGGAAGTTTCCATCCCCAACATGTCCAACAATGGTCCCGAAAAGCCCACTCTTGGCCATGGCCTCCTTGGTCTCCTCAATAATGTCAGGCAACCGGCTCGTCGGCACCGCAACGTCCCCAGTCCAGACGTGGTCCCCCTCGCGCCGGACCGCCATCGTGCTCCACAGCGCCTCCTTCCTCGCGCTCCACAGCTCCTGCTGCTCCTCTTCGTTCTTGGCGAAATCAAACGTCTTGCTGCCGGCCTTGCTCGCGAGCTGCCTCACCAGCGCCACCTGCTCCTTGACGCCCGTCTCCGTGCCGGCGAACTTGAAAAACAGCGTCGGCGCCTCGGCCCACGCCTTGCTCGTCATGCCGGCCTTGTTGATGCACTGCATCTGCAGGTCGTCCAGGATCTCGACCGCCGCCACGGGGATGCCGGCGGCGACGACCTTGGCGACGCAGTTGGCCGCGTCGCGGATCGTGGGGAACGCCGAGACGGCGACGGAGGTGGACGCGGGCTTGGTCGTGACTTTCAGGGTGGCCTCCGTCACGAGGCCCAGGGTGCCCTCGGACCCGATGAAGAGCTTGGTGAGGTCGTAGCCGGCGGAGCTCTTGCGCGGGCGCTGCCGCGTCTTGATGACGGTGCCATCGGCCAGCACGACCGTCAAGCTCAGCACCCACTCGCGCATGGTGCCGTAGCGGTAGGCGTTGGTGCCGCTGCAACCCGTCCCAATCATCCCGCCAATCATGGCGCCGGGGCCCGGGTCCGGCGGGAAGAAGAGACCCGTCTGCGCCAGCTGGTCGTTGAGCGACTCCCACCCGACGGCGGGCTGCACCACGACGTCGAGGTCCTCCTGGTGCAGCTTCAGGACCTTGTTCATGCGCCCAAAGTCGATCGAGATGCCGCCGCGCGTGGGCGTGAAGTGGCCCTCGAGGCTGGTGCCGCCGCTGTAGCCGACGACGGGGATGCGCCGCTGGTGGCAGATCTTCATGATCTCCGACACCTCCTCGGTGGTGCTGGGGAAGACGATGCAGAACGGCCGCTCGTCGGGCTTGGCCGAGTGCGAGGACCACTCCGAGTTGGCGTGGTGTTCGAGGTCGACCGTCGTCGTGCTGACGTGCTCCTTGCCGACGATGCTGACAAAGTCGGCCCAGGCGGCCTCGAGGTTCTCCTTGTTGAGCTTGTGGACCGGCGCGATCGTCTTGGCTAGCGGCAGGGTCGACTCTTCGTTGGGGCTCGGGGGCACGAGGGTGCCTAGGTAGTACGACACTCCCATCGTGGTGAGTAGCACTGCCAGCACACAATGGGCGCATTAGCTACTGTGACAGTCTTGCCCAAACATCTGGCTTCAGGGAAGGTCGTCGCTCGGATGTTCAGGACTTACCGAAGGTGTAGGCCAGATTCCTGCTATTCCCCGTCTTTTCCCGCTCAGCAGCGAACCTCTCTCGCTCCGCCTTCTCGCGCGCCAGACGCTGGGTGATACTGCCGACGACCTGGCCCTGGAACGTCCGGCCCTTTTGCTTCTCTTCGGTGTTGTTCGGCGTGCCGCGCTCACTCGACATGTGCCGCGCGGTGGTGCCGCTGGCGAGAGCGACGCATCGCCGGCGCGGGGCCGGGCTCGCGGCCCTGAGACCTTGCAGAGCTGCCTGCGGAGCTCGAGCTCTGAGATGCGCCATTGCGCTTTTGTTCGACTCGGTAGGTGGGTGGGTGGTGGTGTTGATGGACGGGGAGTGTCGGGGATTCGGATGTCTGTAGTGCGATTTTTCCTTTACAGCTTCGATTGATCAGCGGTTAAAGAGGCAAGCTTCAAGCCATCCGGGTTCGGAGCTCTAGAAGAAGCTGAGAGGGGGTGGCTTCGTGAGGAGGTACGCGGGCGACGACGACCGCGAATAGAAGTGCAGGTAAAGATTATTTGTAGCTGTGTGGAGCTGCATCCGTCTGAGCACTTCTGGAGCTCGGATGGCGAAATGCAATCCATGCAAGCCGTTTGCAGTACTGGAACAGAAGTACACCCTGCGAGCCTATCGGGGATAAGGATTGGCCGGCCCGGAAGCGGAGTACCTGCGGTGTGTGGGACTGCCGTCGTATGCCCGCGCCGGGGGGAACTCCACTTCTTCCACCGTACGCCCCCCCCTCCGTCCGCTTATCCAACGCCGAGGATAACTCTGGCTAACAAAGTAGGATGGCGTGATGGCGAGGTCGGAGGCACCCATGCATTCGGTGCACAACAGATAAACATGCAATGGCTGACTGTTTCTCATTCGGAATTTGGTATTGATTACCTACCTACTTGGGCAGGCATACTAAGTCGGCATGGATGAGCCCCGACACTCCCGACACAACTGCCGTCGACCTTGTCATCGACGATTCTATACTTTGACGACTGGCATCGGCTTACAGCTCTCTGCGGGGAGTCACGAACTTCTCAAACTTTGATGTCTCACAGCACCATGTAGGCCAGCGCTGCAGAATTTCTACGATCCTGAGATCTTGGCGCTTATCTCCATCACGGTACATAGTAGTGTCTAGTCGATTTTGCGATTATGAGATGAGATATTCGGATATCCCATGACGTTGCCTTCTTTTCGTTTTGCCCCTGTAAAGAGACAGAGGCACAAACATCTAGTACTACAAATACAAGCACCTCGCTACACAAAACGAAGCACCCCAGTACTCGAAGAAAGCCTCCCCAAGGTGCCTTCCCTTACAATTGTCTCCCAAAACACCTTCAAGTCTTCCACCCGGGAATAAGCTGCACATTAAACGTCGGCGTCCCAAGCCCCCCACCAGCACCCCTCAAATGCGCCAAATACGCAGCAAGCTCCCCATCCTGCTCAATCGACAACGGCATCTCCCCGCCCTTGCCATCCTTCAACACCCCCTCCAGCCGGAGGCATATCGCTCCCGGGAACTTACTCGCCGCCGCGTGACGCAGCTCCTGCACGGAATGCGAGCTCAGCGTCGCGATCCAGATGGTCGTTGTAGCGACAAAGGTAGACGAGGGGTGGAGACGTAGGTAGACGGCTATGCTCGCGGACGGCGGCTGCGGGTGTTGTGGTAGAGGTGACGGCGGCGCGTGGAAGACTGGTTGCTGCTGCTGCTGCTGCGCGGCGGCGGCAGCTACTGCGAATTGCTGCGCGTATTGCTGGTCTACAAATGCTGCCTGCGCGTCGGCTGCTAGTAAGAGAGACGAGCCCATGTGGTGAGACTCCAGCCCCATATTCGCCTGTCCGAGGAGTGCCGAAGAGAGGATCCGCGCCGCGGAATGGCCCATCGGGTCGGCGGCCGCGGCGGCCTGAACTTGCATCGACACGGTGGGCATGAGCATCTGCGGTTGCTGGCTTCCGCCTGAGCCGGGCACGAGTCCCATGGACGACGGTACAGATACCTGGCTAGCATCAACGTACTGAGCGCCGCCCAAGTCCTCCTCCCCTCCCAAATCATCAACCATCTCTGGCTGTGCGGGTTGGACCTGGACTTGACTCGCCTGGACATCCTCTTGCCGTTTTGTGTCGTCGCAACTTGGCTGCGTCTGTCTCGTGACCCCTCGTTTCCGTGGCTGCTCCCGCCTCGAGGCATCATCCCTCAACCTCTTCATCACGTCCCTTGCAAGAACATCCAAAGCCCGCACCTTTTCAGCATGAGCTTGAGCAGCAGAAGAAACACCGTCATCTTCTTCTTCTCTTCCCCGAGCAGCAAGAATTCGCCGCATCATCTCCGACCCTGCCTCCCACTGCGCCTTAAGCTCCCCCCACTGCGCCGGCCCAGCCTCAGACTTGCAACTGAGCCCCTCCCGCTTCAGAATCCTCTCAAACGCCGCGCGAAGATCCCTCGCCTCCTCCGGGTTGACCCCAAGAATATTCCTCGCCTCGGCGAGCGTGAGCCGCTTCTCCTGCGTCCGCGCCCGCTTCGTAATGTCTGTGCATATGATATCGAGCGCCAGTCTCTTGGACTCATGGTTGCTGCCGTTGCCGTTCCCATCCCCAGACTCTTCATCCCACATGACCGCCCTCAGCCGCGGCGTCTCCCTTAAAAGTCGGCCCTTGACGGCCTCCCACCTCTCAGGCCCGGCAACCGTCTTCTTGACGATGCCAGACTCCTCGCACAGCCGTGTAAACGTGACACGCACCTGACGGTACACGTCCGTCGCGAGCCCGAGAATGGCCTTTGCCTCGTCGAGCGTCGTCTCCGAAGGGAAGCGCGGGGCGATGGGGGGTTGTAAGTCGTGGGACGATGCAGCCTCCCAGGCTCGCAGCCGCCGTCTCTTCCTCCTGTTGTTGGTATTGTTGTTGCTGCTAATGTTACCCTCCTTGTCCCATACCGCGCCGACCTCGTCGTCCTCGTCCTCGCCCTCGCCCTCGCCCGGCAGCGGCGACACAAGCATCTCCCGTTCCGTAAGCGTACCAGGCGTCACGACACCCTCACCATTCTGCAGTCCCTGGCCACCGAAGCCATCATCGGGGGCATTCAGGGCGTCTTGCCGCTGACCCGAATCCGCCCCCTCCGACTCCCCCACCTCCTTGGACCGCTCCCCATTCGCAGCCTTCAAAAGCCACCGATTCTTCGTCCTCACGCGAATAAGCTCGCGCTTCTTAATATCGAACCCGTCCTCCCTCAACACGGCCAGCATCTCCCGCTGCGACAGGTTCCGCTCCCACAGCTCCTTGACGCGCGCCACCAACCGGCCGTTCTTGTACGCCGGATTCTGCTTGGATGGGAAATCCCATTTGCGGAACTGGGTCTGGAAAGCTCGTTTGCTGTGTGGTGCCGGGAAATTCAGTTAGTTACTTATCCGTATTAGTCCCGACAGATTTACCCCGGATTCTGCCCCGGGCCCCCGGTCCGGTTTGTTGAAGCCGGGGTGTGGATCGGACGGTCCGGCCGGCGAGAAGGACCTCAAAGTGCTGGTGGACGGGAGACACGGAACAAAGGACGAACTAACCAAGGTGAAAAGTCATGGTGGATTTTCAGGTACGCCATGATATCCTCGAGGGACCTCTTCTCGTTGATGTAGAGCTGGAAACATAGCTTCTCGTGGGCATCCCAATCATAGACCATGTCTCTAGAGTTGTCTGTAAGTAATATCTTGAAATGCGTCTTGGGTTGGACGGGTCACTGATGGAAAGTCAAGATGCGCAAGTGGTTGGTTGAGTCAGCCGTACTGTGCCAAGATTATATTGCACAGTACTTTCCTTACCTGAGCAGAGGACTGTCCGGTAATCTTATCGCATACTGAGCTCCTTATCCGTGCTTATCGCCATCATTACTCAAGTACATTCGGTGAGTCTCGGTGAGGAGCCGTCCCTTCACTCGGTCTCATGAATGTATCTCTCATGGAATTAGCCATCCCCCCGGTTCGTCAGCTTCCCAACGGACAACAGACTTACACTACATTCATAATGATACTGTTAGGGAGGTTTGACAACAATTGGCAACCAAGCCAGTCCCTGATACACACCGGGCCGCTCCGCATGGACGTTGATCACTCTACCATTCCGGACCTCGGTCCCGGTTGTAAGCGCCCTCTCCCCCTCCATCCCCAAACCACAAGCTTCGAACCCAAATACACCGTACATTGTCTCCGCATGAACCTCAATTTCGCTTCCCTCATCTACAATCCCATCTACAATCCAACACATCTCTAACGAACCACATCCTTTCAAAACCACACATTTCATTATCACCAATCTCAACCACTCACCCAACTCACCACCAACTATCAACCATCACCATGTCCTCCCTCCCCTCATCCTACAACACCCTCTCCCTCCCCCAAATAACCATCACCCACCACCCCTCCACCTCGCCCATCCCAACCCCAGTAATAATCCTCACCCTCAACCGCCCAACAGCCCGCAACGCCTTCACAGACGAAATGGCATCCTCCCTCGCCAAAGTCTACACCCTCCTCTCCGCCGACCCCCGCGTCAAAGCCATAGTCCTCACAGGCTCAGACCCCTCCAACAAAACCTTTTGCGCCGGAATGGACCTCCACAACCGCGTCCGCCTGCCCCTTACCCGCGACGCCCACCGCGACACAGGAGGCCTCGTCGCCCTCGCAATGCACAACTGCTCAAAACCCATCATCGCCGCACTAAACGGCTCCGCCGTCGGCGTGGGCATCACAATGGCCCTCCCGGCCTCCATCCGCATCGTCTCCCGCGACGCAAAAATCGGCTTCGTCTTCGGGAGGAGGGGGTTCAACATGGAAGCCTGCTCGTCCTTTTACCTCCCCCGCCTCATCGGCGCCGGGCCCGCGCTGCATCTATGTACCACCGGCGGCGTCTACCCCGCCACCAGCCCTCTTTTGCGCAACTTGTTCAGCGAGATCGTCGCGCCCGACGAGGTTTTGCCGCGGGCGCTGGCTGTGGCCGAGGACGTGGCTGCCAATGTGAGTACCGTGGCCGTGAGGGTGATGCGGGATATGATTCTGCGGTCGCCGGCGAGCCCGGAGGAGGCGCATCTGCTGGAGAGCAAGATCTTTTTTGATTTGTTTAGCGGGAAGGATAGTAAAGAGGGGATGGAGAGTTTCATGCAGAAGAGAGCTCCGCGGTTCGAGGCGACTATGGAAAAGGACGCTCCGAGTGCGTACCCTTGGTGGAAAGAGACTGATGTCAAGGCCAAGATTTGAAATTCACTGTAAAACATTTGTAAAACTTTACATCATATCATGAGAAGTACTGAATGAGCTTCCTGATTGCAGCATGTGACCGCTACCCAGCCCGCCCTCATAAAGCCCCTATCCAACCGTAAACCCAAGCACACCCACACTCAAGGCGTGTACTTCCACAGTGTAGGGTCAAAGATGATATCGTACTCATTCTTCGAAAAGGTGCCAATGGCACAACTCAGGTCATGGAATCCCTCCAGTCCGTTGACCGGCAAATCTTGCTCAGAGTCACTCTCCTCATGTAGGTTCCAGGTCCCAGCCAGTCTACCGTCTCGCGTGAAGAAGATGTCAACACTCATCCTGCCACCCTGAGCCGTGAACTGCATGCCGATACCCAGCGTCTCACCGGGCCGGAAGGGTTCTGTGAAGGACTTGCCGCCCCATCTATCGTTGATGTATTTGTGCCCATCATCGCCGTGGACACCAAGACTGCCGCGATGCCATCCAGGGAGACGGAAGTTGGGATAGGGGAGCGCGGTGAAGCCAAGGGCAAGGTCTACTTCACTTGCCGATCCGCGAATCTTGACTTCGTAGTAGATCTTGAAAGGCTGGCCGGTGGCGAGAGGCGAGTTGTTCTTGACTGAGTACAGAGGCGGATAGCCGATGATGGTGCTGTCGGGGGCGTTCCTTTGCGTTGTGACCTCCCATTTGCCCGAGACGGGCTGGGTCATGGTGCCGCGGAATCCTTGAGGCTGGAGAAGCCATATCCTGTGCGTATGCAAAGCCTCTAAAGCCGTGGAGTCAAGGTCGATGGGTTGGACGAGGGGGTACTGGGCCACCCAGGCCTCACCTGCTTCAGCCTCCCGCTCCGTAGAGTTGTTCGCAGGGGAGCGATCAAATCCGCTGAAGAAGGCCGGGGGCGGTGGGAAGAGGGTGGTGTCAGGAACCGCCGTTTCCCAGTCGTGTTTCTTCGAGTCCGATGGCGGAGGACCCGGGGGAGGAGCGGTGTAGTCGTTGCGTGCGGGTGGAGGTCCCGGAGGCGGCGCATACTCACTTTGCTGGTGTGATGGAGGAGGTCCAGACGGCGGCGCATACCCTCCATGGGACGGAGGAGGACCCGAGGGAGGCGCAAAGTCATCGCCGCGGCCTGGCAGCGGGCCACTCGGAGCGGCATACGACTGACTCGGGGGCGGGCCGGGAGGAGGAGCATAAATCTGGTCCGAAGTCTGTCCCGGAGGCGGACCAGCCGGCGGCGCGTATTGCTGTTGCTGCTGATTGCTGCTAGTCATCTTGGTATCTTGCTGCTGTGGCGAAGGCGGACGTTGCGCAGGACGCGGGGCAGGAGTATCATCCTTGTCGGCCTTGCTGCCGAAACACATCTTCAGGAAGTGGTGAAGAAGGTTTAGGGCTTTTTATGCAGTTCGTCTGGTGTCGAATCTTGTGGCCCGTTGTGTTTGCGGAACAATGAAATGCGTCGGAGGGGTAATAGATGTTGCGGGGAGGAGGAGGGGGGCGCCTTGACGTGGGAATTGAGCTTGAGCTTGAACAGAGCAGTGGAAACCTGAAACAATGCGACGCGGGCGATTGGGGGGATTGGCAAATGTGCAAGATTCTTAGAGGTATGGGTAATGTCCAGCGTCGCGAGTGATCTAGGTGAAATGCAGCGATGATGCACGACGGGGCGGATGAGGCGTTGATATGAAGAAGAAGACAAAGGTGGCTGTGTTTCCAATGGCAATGGCAGATGACGGGATTCTAGGCTGACTGGGCCAGTGATAATGACGGGAGGACCATGATGGTGGAACTTTGGAAGCTATCCGCAATAGGCAGCTGGGATCCATTTCCTTTTTTGCGATACCTGCAGTACAGGGCGCTGCAGCTTCCCCCGCAGCAACAGGTACTCCGTACAAACGACGCCCCCAATGAGCTCCCTGCGTTTGAAGTGCCTCTGTTGGTTATGGTACCTACTCCGTACCTATTCGACGCCCCAAGGTGCAAGCACTTTGTTTTCTCTTTACCATCTAAAATGCTAACCGCATGCGTTCAACTGACCAAATGAACATCAGCGACGACAGAAGGGGGCTTGCTGTGTGACCAACGGCTTTTTTACCCTTTTTACCTTGACAAACAATCACCGGACAACAAAAGTAAACACCAGCCACAGCGTCGGCAACGAGGAGGCCGCCCACTCACTGTTTAATACATGGCACATGAAGTACCCTGATCACCGCCCGGCGTAACCGGGCGGAACTGGTGTGGGGTCGTTCGGCGCAGCTAGCTTTTAAGCTTACCCGGTGGGCCAACACTTCGCATCCATCAATGTCACCGAACCATGTCACCATAACTGGCTGACTGGGTGTCAAAACGTTGCGGTTTATTCCTGGCGAGGTTTCATTGGTTTGCATCATGCCTTTGAAAAGGATTGCGACTTTGGCGAGCAAGCAGGGTTGTAGAACGTGCCGCGTACCTGTCAACCTGATCTCACTTGCTGACTAAACAAGGGTTGCTGGAGCCCAGGTTACATACCTCTTATTCCTCGATGAGCCTTGAGAAAGGTTCCCCCGTCTCGAAGCCCTTGCCTTTAATAGACTTCTAGTAAAATTTTCCATATACTATGAAAGCTACATACCGAGACAATACACTCACAAGACCAACCAGTCAACAGAGCCCGGCTCCCTTTATAATGATGCCATGGCATCCAGAGCCGTAGCGAATGATAGCACAGCTGTCGCGGCATGCTGTAGCCGACTTTCTTGCAGCCATACAAGTGGGCGGCAGGGTAGGACAACTCAAGGCGTTATCAAGACGAAGGATCGTCTAGAGATGTACGTAGGTGACAGCTCAAAGGTAGGACTTTAGAGCGTCCATAAGTGGGCATAGTAAATGTCACAATCGTGAGTGGTGCAAGATTCATGTTGTGAAGATAAATGTGTATTCGGCACCCAAAGGTCTGTCCCGTGTAAAACGGCGAACCAAACCCAGTAGCTCTTTGTGCCGTCTACTAAAAAGTTTGCGAGTGCAACAAACTTGTGCCAGAATGATATAACCCCAAGCCTAAATCGTCCCCTTGTCAAAGAGCCGCGCGGCATAAAGCTATGCCACAGCAGCGAAATAGAAAGAAAAGTTCATGAAGCGTCGTAAGTTGCTCTTCACCAACAACCACTACTCCCCATCAGGTCAACCACGAAGCAAAAGGGTTATGCTATCTCGTGTGACCTCAACCCCTGAGCTTAGGCGCCAAAGGAGCTAGCCTCGTCCGAGTTGGGGTAGAAATAGGCAACCACAGCGATGATAATGTATGTCGCACACAGTAAAGCACCCTCGAGGTAGTTACTCCTTCCGTCGAGAACCAGGAAGTTGACGATGAAAGTTGAAACGAAGAGGCAGACCGTCTCGAACAAGGTAAAGTACAACGACATGTCGCGGTCCATGGCCCAACCGATGATGACGACAATTGGCGTGATGAAGAGGGCGATCTGGATGGAACTACCGACGGCGACGCCAATTGCCAAGTCCATCTTGTTCTTCATGGCGACCGTGACGGCAGTGACGTGCTCTGCCGCATTGCCAACAATGGGAAGGATGATGAGACCGATAAAGATCTCGCCAAGAGGACTGGTCTTGACTACGTCGTTGATGGAGTCGACTAGGAACTCGGCGCAGACGGCGACAAGGGCGGTGGAGAAAAGCAAGAGGAGAATGGCAGCAGTGCGGGACAGGTGATCATTATCAACGATCTCGCTCTTGACGCTAAGACCACTGTTGACAGTCGCAACACCAGGGATCTGGGCGGGGAACACTCCTCCTGGGGCGCGAACATTGCCGTGCTGGTTCAAACGGTCTGGCAAAGAGTTGGTGCGGCGAATGCCGAAGCGGACTCGGGGAACTGGGCCGGCCGAGGCAGCGGGGCCCGCGGACGGGGTCTCGTCGGGCGTGGTGAAGACAGCGGGGGCGAAATTCTTAATTGATAACCCGCGAAGGCCAGACACCGGGCGGCTCTTGACGGCTTGAGCAGTATCGGTTGGCTCTGATGTACCAGCAGTCTGGTCGGCAAAGTCCAGACGGCGAGGTTCACCTGCTTGAGTGTTGCTGGTCAAAGGCTCATGACCTTCGACATCGACAAGATTATTCCGGGAGGCCTTCTTGGACTTCTTCTGGTGCTTGTGATGACGTCTGCGGTGCTTTCTGTGCTTACGAGACCTGTCTTCTTCAACAGCCTCATCGCTACCGACAGAGTTGAAGCGCGGGATGGCTGGACGACTGGCGGATCCTTCAGAGCCCTGAGCTGTACCGACAGAGGAATTGCGGGTTCGGGGGAGACCATCAGTGTTGACAGAAACCACACTGGACTTGCGCCTTCTACCGGCGCGCATGACCTTTCTCATCGTCTTGCGTACAGTGCCTCCGGAGCTGTCAGAGCCGTCTGAATCGGAGTCGGAGTCGGAGCTATCTTCAGAGCTGGAGGAGTCGAAGAAACCAATAGCCGGACCAGGGGCGGACTCAGCGTCCACGATGTGTTGAGGTGTAGACTCATACATATAGGCATGAGACTTCAGCTGGAACAGGAGATACAAGATGTACACCAACAAAAGGACCTAGCCGGAGTTAGTATTCATCACCACATGGTGTGACAGAGCACTCACCACACTGGTACCACGGCTGATCTTGAGGGTCTGATCCTCAGCCTTGAAGGTGTTCTGGAAGGAAGCGTGGAAGGCAGTCTGGTGAAATGATTAGTTTCCGGAAAAGTTCCCGCAAATTCTCACACAACTTACAGGAAGCACCAAACTGATAACGCTCAAACTGAGCAGACAAGCACTCATCTGCGTGACGGTGCTGTTGTAAATCTAATGCCGATATCAGTATACCATTCAACTTGTCAAACGGCAACAACTACAACTCACCTGCTCTCGGAAGCGCAGGCCACCGAGGAAAAAGCACATGCCCAAAATGAGCAGCAGGTTGGCCAGAATAGAGCCCAGGAGGGAAGCCTGAACAATGCGGATTTCATCCTAGTACAAGTCAGCTCGAAAATTCGTTGTGGTTCCGCGATGATTTACCATACCTTGACAAGCGCGATGCTGAAGAGTCGCAGAAGATGTACATGTCAGCAACACTGCAATAAATAATACTCTAAAAAGGGGCAGCCCATACGTGGGCTGCGAAACGAGGTTGGGTTAAGGGAACTGCATGATTTGGGATTTGATTGATGTGATGGTGTCTTTTGGTGTAGACTTCTCATCTCTTTCTCGTCTTTATCACCCGCAGAAGGGTAGAAACGTACATGCTGGATTGAAGAAATAAGCATTAGCCAAGACTGCGCTAAGACATTCAGAAGGTTGCAAGGTTCGAGATATTCAGGGCCAGGATCCAGTGAGCGGCTTGGCCAAGACATGTGCCAAGACCCGCCGCAACGCGTTTGGATCTTTGGGTTCCCCACTGCGAACCTCTCCAAAACCATCCTAAGGTGGTTTGAAGAGAGATACGGCAACAAAGGTGAGTGAGACTTACAAGATAATCAACTCGACGGCATTGCCAAAAGTCACGTTCAAGAGGGCGCCAATGGTATCACCAAGCTTGCTGGCGACGGACTCAGTGGCGTGGCTGAGCAGGCCGGCAAGTGGGATGATGGCAATAGCATTCATTGCGAAGACGATGCCGGGGCTCACGCCGAGGGCTTTGGTGATGATGCCAACGGGGACAAAGACGAGGAGCACGTTGACCCAGCTGTGAAACAGGATCATTTTACACGTGAGGTAGAAGCGGGCGAAGACGCCAGGTTTCTGCTTCTCTTCGGGGGTTTTGTTCTTCTTCAAAGCACCCTCCTCGTCTACGACAGCCCCCTGCCGCGAAGCTTTCGAAGATATAGCAACATCCTCGAGGTCGCGCGGACTTGTTTTCTCATTGATGTCGTCCGGGTATGTGAGGGTGAGGTTGTTGCTCGCAGAGGAGCTGGTGATGTGAGAGGAGACGCCATTGGCGACACCATAGCTACTGTTGGTAGTGGAAGCCGTCGTGTCGAACGTGTTGTTGCGCTGGGTAGCGGGAAGGGTAGACTTGCTGGACAAGTCTATTGAGTCGGTGACTACAGTTGCCGGATTGCCGTCGGATCGGTTCGAGGAGCTGCGACGGACGCCATGCGCTGATCCTGCTGCGCCAGAGCGTATGGTGTCTATATTGGGGGGATCAGTGGAGGCTTTCTTCATCGAAATAGATGACCGGACACTCGTGTCTCGGCTGGAGCGCAGTTTTCTCTGGGGAAAGAAGAAGGTGTTTTGGCGATGGCACACAATGAAGTTTCTTAGAGCACAAAAGTGAAGACGAGCTTCGGGAGGAGAACAAGTACGGACAAGGAGAGAAGAAGACTAGAAGGGGGAATGTGGTCGGACGGCGACAGATGAGGGATGCTTTAAAGGTTGAATCGACTAAGAGATAGACATGGGGGGGATAAGGTAGAGGCAACGTCCCCAGGCGACAGACACGGACCGGGAAGAGACGTACCCTTAGCTCATCTTTCGACCGGGACTGGCGCAGTTGCGTAAGTACCTAGACACCTTGGAGAAGGAAGGTCTGTCTACTTACTAGGTATCTGGTAAGGTAAGGTAGGTGCAACCTTGCCGCGGCGAACAAGCAGGTACCTCCGAGACGTTGGGACGGCGGGAACGGGGAAGCGTACCGCTGCAAGGACGCTCTGGTCACTCCTTCCTGACGATGGGAGGTGAGTCTGGTCGCTCCTGGCAAGTTAAGGTGTGGACGTGGAGGTACGGAGGTACGGAAGTACGTATTCGTACGGTAGACAGACGTGGATGGACGCAAAACAAGCAGGTCCCGCTGGGAAACAAGCAAAGCAGGGGCTCCCTGTCACCGCGCCTGGCTCATCTGGGGCCAATCGCCTTGGTGCAAAATGTCTTGGTGGATGAACCGTGAAATCAGCCAGATTCAGTAAGAAGCCGCTGGTCATGTGCCTCAGGCTGTTGTGGCGCGCCCACAATTTCTCCATCTGGCGGGCTGCTTGGTCAAGGTCACCATGGTCACTAAGCCTCAGCTTTCCCCCCCCCATCGCCTCTTTGTCTATCCCACTCCCTTACACTCCATCATCCCCAGCTTGGTCTACCGCCTATCCTGTTCTTTTCATTTGCTGCTATTTGCATCGTCGTCTCCTGTTTTCTGAGAAGTGGACCTCTTGGGATCTGCAATCATCATTGCGGGACACATTGGCTGAACAAGCACAAGCACGAGCACAACAGGCATCTTGTTCGTTGCTGGCTCAAACAGAGACAATCGGGCACATACATCCATATCCACATCCACATCAGAGTTCTGGGCTCGGGGTTGCACCAATAAACCAAGCTTTTGCCATGGAAATGGGTACGTGCCTCATCCCCTTGGCCTTCTTGGCTACACTGCAAAATACGACACCATTCCTGTACCGAGTATGGAGTACGGGGTCTGGGTCCAGGAATCCAGAAATCCAGATGCATGCGCATGCTGTCACTGCTCTTCCACCATCATCATCATCATCATCGCCCGCCAGTCCAGGTCCAACACAGCAACAATGATATCACACCTCATCAACTCGCTGCAGGGAAAGAAGGCCTCTGCCCTATCGGACCTCGCCATTTTGCCTCCCCCCAAGTCCCGTCCCTCCCTCGGTCAATCGGTCAGTCGGTCTCTAGTTGTAGACTCCCGCTCTCAACAAAGGATACACAACAACCACCGCCCATCCTCCGCCTCATTAGCAACACCGAACCCATTGGCTCCGACGAGTCATAGTGGATACGCACTAATAAGCATTAACCTACACGCAGGGAGGGAGGGGCAGGGGACTCGACTAACACTTGACGGAAAGTGGGATGGGATTCCTCTTCCAATCTTCCTCCCTCCCTCCCCCTACTACCTAACAAACTCTCCTGCTAGCAGCGGACCACCCTCTCTCTCCGCTCCGCCCAGACAGGCCAGCTGAGCCTCACAGAATGACAGAGTTGCACTCGCAAATATTCGCGTCCAATTTCGCAATCTCCTCGCCGCCTCCCGTGCCAGACCCTCATCCCAACCTTGTATCCGTACCACTTCACCCAGGCGAGATCCGCAGCAGAGGTGGACAAACACTTCCCATGCCATGGTCTAGCTCAATGCGACTACAGTCTTTGAGCACCTACAGCACCAGTTTCTGATGAATTAACCTACGCCACATTGACACACACCGTCCAAAGAACCAGAAACTAGCATTGTTCGAGGGCCGAAGTTCGACGGCCGAAATGGGGCATTCTACCGGACGGAGACCAAGCAAACAACCTCTCGCTCGAGCCTCACCCACACTGGTTTTTTCCTACACTGCTCCCTTCGGTGTATTCGTACTCTGTGCTTTCTTCAGAAACCGAGCCAGGACGGACTGTTGGACTCTCCTTCTTGCTCTTGCTTCTCTGTATCCCCAGCTCAACTCGCAACGTGCGCCAAGCATCGCCAAGGACGCCGATTCCAGATGATGGATTCCGTGGTAGAGACAATCTCGAAACAAGAACCGGATTCCGGACCCCATCTTTTTGGTTTTCAGATCATGCAGTCGCGCATTTTGCGTTTCTCGTTCTCGTCGTAGTCGTTGCCGATAAAACTGTAAGAAGCCTCATCAAAGGGGATCAAGAAGAAGCCGGGCCGGGCAGTTAACCCCGCATGCCATTATCGAAAAGTCACAAGCTGACCGGCACAATTCGACATATGGATAATCCATAACTTTGATATCCCAGAACTCTGGAGCCTGCCGGCCTGCCGCCACTACTGCCACTCCTGCCTTATCAATCAGTCGGGGATCACCCTCGCATCTCAGTGGCTGGCACCTCTCTCGACGACACACGTGGTCCAGGTATCTCTACGCGAGACGATCTTCGTCCGCTCCAGTGTAGCAGACTGCAGAGTTGCATTCCGCCCGGCTATACACTCTTCTTGCGAAGACGAGCATGCATACATATCCTTTGGCATACCCAGCAGCGGAAATACCGTTGCAAGAGTGCAAGAGTCATGAGTCCATGACCACTCCATCAAAGTGCCCCCAAACGGTCAAGGGGCCGTTGCAAAAGCTGGCGCTCGAGGCTTCAAAGAGTGCACGGGGAACCGCTTCCAAACTTCCCAAAGCTTTTCCCTCTCGTCCCGGCCGATTTGACGAACATTCTGCTTGTTCCTGCTCATCGCCTTACCTTTTTGCATTTTCAAAAGGTTCCCGGCACTTTTCGTTTCCATCCAATGCTCCCCTTCCCTCCCTCCCTTCCGCTGTACCTTCCCTTCCCTCCCCTTCCCTCGTCCAACCTAATTCCTCTCCCCTCCTGGCTAGACCGTTTCTCTTCCCGTTTGTCACAACCTAATTTCGACAACTGGAAACAACAACAACCACAACAACAGCAGCACGATACTTTTCTACCCTGCCCTTGCTTCTTTATTTTTCCGCTCTCAAAGGATCAGTGCGCAACAACGTGTTCCAAACGTGCTCTGGATATCAAAGAGAAAGAAAGAGGCCCCTTACTGAATATCGAGAGAATCACGGAAAAGGTTCTTGGATAAGATCCTCGCAAGGAACGGGCGCTGAGACGCGTCATCCAAAACACCACAGCGCCCATCCTATGTTGCCCATCCATTGATCCAAGGACGATTCGTTTTTGGTCGTTGCGCCGAACGCAACAGGGGTTCAAACGAAATTCAAGCTTCCCACCTGCCAAATGGCCAAATGCCGGCCGCCCCAATCCACAGATTCGCCTTAATTACGAAGTACGGAGGCTAGATGCTCTCTTGATAGTGATACTATCGAAGCGGATTGGCTCTTCCCGCTCGTGAACCAATAGAAGCGCCACAGGATTATACCAAGCCGGCCGACACGTGCCGAGAGTGACGTCAAATTTCTTGGGGGGAGCTTGTTGACGGTGTGGACAAAAGGTGGCTGTACGTGCGGATGCTCCATACGGTTAGCGTCTAGTTACCCACGACTCTCATGCCTCTGTACCGGGCTCGGTACTGGCTGCGCCACAAACAGCCACACTTATCTACTGCGTAGGTCATGCCGTGACTGGACCGTCCATAGTACACTACTCCATAAGAACAAAGTGGGCCATTTGCGAGCGTCCAGACTTCAGCGTCGAAGCGTCGCGTCGAAGCGTGACAGTTAGTTGAGTGTCACAGATATGCGTAATGATGTGTGATACCTGTGACTGTTTGGTAGGGGCCAAGAAACCAGGTACCGAAAGCAAGGGAAGAATCATCCGGCCTTCGAGACATCGTACCGTTTCCCCCCTTTTGACCACCGACACAAAACCTCGTTGCAGACCATCCTATCCCGTCCATCAGCGCAGCAGATCCGATGAGAAGAACTAGAAGCGTGCTCTCTACCTACGTACTCCCTTAATCTTCTTCATTTTACGGTATACGTATAACATCTAGCCGGAGCTTGTAGATCACATCCATGGATTTGTGTAGACTATGGAGTGTGTTGTTCCGACTAAACAGGCGCACCGGCTTTCAAGAGAAAAATCACACAACACAATACGTACGGGCTAACAACGGGGTTTTTATATCCCGTGCCAAATGACTTTATATCTCACGGGGGGACTCTCTATGAAGCCGGGTTTGCCATTCAATGTAGCTTCAATATGCTTTCCATACCAGACACTGCATATCCCGCACCCAGCCAGTTGCAGCTGGATACCTACTGGTCAGCCCACTCACGACCTTATTCAACCTTCATCACACAAAAACGCTAACAATTCAAAACGTCGGTTCTTTCTTCTCTCTCTTCCATTCTCATTGTCTCTCTGTCTCTCTGTCTCTCGCTCTCTACTTCTGTACTTCCCATACGCCTTTGCCGCCGCCAGCAGTCTTAATTGATTGCCGACGTGATGCCATCAAATTAGAGGGAAAATGACAAGTCAAACCAACCAGAATAAAAAAAAAAAGGTCCCATTTCCGGAAAAAGGGAAGCGGGAAGAAAAACCACCAAGCCGTCTCTGTATCTGAACAACCCCGTCCCAGGAACCGACGCAATAAACACCATCAAACTTGCCTGATTACACGAGAGAGGACTGTGAAAATTAAGAACTCCTCTCAACATTCTATGCCGATTCGCCAACGATGCAGCAGGCCATCAACTTCCACTAACGATGCCAAGCGACCAACGTGTCCTGCTGGCTGGTATTCACACATTAAAACCTCAAAATTCTCAAAGACGAGGCGCACATCGCCTTATAGACGATGTCTTCACCGCTCAACTCGGCGTGCCGGGGACAGACTCATTTGCGACGATCGGGGCCCACACAATGGTCGTGATCCTGGACTATGAGATGGCGAGCAGTCGAGGGCCCCAAGAGAGCTCTACCTCTCGTCGCCACCTCTCGCTTTGCCGCGTCTCCGGAAGAAGTCCATAACTCTCTTGGCGGCTCCGCTGCTGCCTTGATGGCCACCGTATTCTGCGCTCTCGAATCTCTTATTCTTCTGTAGCACGCCAGACCGGCCATTTCCGCGGGACGAGCCAAATTGCTGTCCGTCGTAACCCTCAGACTCGGAGTATCCGCTGGCGTTGTACGGAGCACCAGTGTGTCTCCGGTTTTGGGCGTTTTCGAAAGAAGACTCCGATCCTGTGTTGAGACCAGTACCCTGCTGCATGTAGGCAGGTACTGCGCTGGGCTGCCCAATTGGGCCCACGTTCTGCTGCTGCTGCTGCTGTTGGTAGCCTTGCTGCTGCTGTTGATCTTGCCAATCTTGACGTTGCAATTGGGGAGCAGAGCTAGAGCCCGGCGGCTGTCGGTAACTCTGGTCATAACCACCATCATAGCCTCGAGACTGTTCCCGTGAGTCGACGTATCTTCCATGCTCATCAACCTCAGGGGGGTCTTGGATGGGAAGGTCGGGCTGAGACTGAGGCTCAGACGGCGGACGATCGTAGTCTCTGCCGATGCCAATAGCCCTCAGCGAAAATGACTGCGGGATCAACGAGAAACGCCTGTTTTGCTTCTCGTGGGAGGTTTGGGAGCCAGCGATGCTACCGCTGCGTTTCTTTCCAAGACCTAAAGAGAAGGACCGCCGAGAGGCCCTCGAGTCTATCGAAGGCCGGGGCTGACCTTCAGCAGGCATGTTGTTAGGCATGCTGACTGGAGGGTATTTCCGACTCTTGTCTGCAATCTGCGATTCGGGTCTCTTGCGGTTCTTACCCCCAAAGATCGACCCGTTCCGACCCAGTAGGGAGCCGATGGTGTTGGAGCGCTTGTGTCCATGTCCTCTGCCATCGCTTGACTGAGGAGGCGTCTGGCTCTGCGCGGCTTGTTGTTCTGGGGCGAATCCAGCAACCTTGGCAAACTTTGGCGGAACGCTGACGCTCGGTCGTCCCATAGCCTGTGAATCCTGGGTAGTGGGTTGTTGAATCCTTCCATGAGCATTAGTACCTGCGACGGCCGGGGGGATTGGTTGGCCGTACGATCCACGAGCTCCAGCTCCCAGTCCCATTGAGCCTGATGCCATTGAGCCGCCTGTTTGAGGTCTTCCGGAAGCCTGCGCACCTGATGCTGAAGGTGCGAAAGCGTTCTCAGAGGTCGTCCGGGTCTCGCGAGTCGGTCTTGAGGGTGCGGCTGCCGTGTTGCGGTGAGCACTTGGAGGGCGCGTGCCTTGTCGACTCGCTCTGTACGAATCTCTCGAGACAGGAGGGTCTCTAGGGAGGGGCTTCTCCTGGGAGTTTTGGTTCTCCGCAACCTCCACAGGACCTTGGCTGCTCGAACGCGCCCTCGACTTACTTCCTGCAGCAGCCGCCTCTCCTCTTTGTGTCTGCGTCGTCGGAGCCACGTACTCGACCTGCACCGTGCGACGTTTGTTATCTTTGTGCGCCTTAGCAATGGCTGCTGCCTCGGCGTCAGCATCGATTTTGGCGTGTTTGCTGGCGAGACCTCCCACTGATGTTGGCGTGTTGGCTTTCGTCTTGGAGGATTCCCGGACCGAGGCGCTTCGTCCGATGCCAGATGCTTCTGCAAAGTCGTCGTCTTCCGAGGGTACCGTCGTGTTTTGGATCTGGTTGGGCGTCGTGGTGCTACTAGTAATGAACTCCACGACATGAGCGTACTCGCTCAACCAGCTATGCCGAGCTACCTCAAACAGGTCTGCTCTTTTCCGGGGGTTGGGGACAAGGATTCGCCTGAGAAGGTCGCGAGCGTGGGGGGTGACGTATTCGGGGAAAGTCAGAGGCGTGTTCACAATGTATTTGTACAGTAGGTTAATGTTGTCGCCTTCGGGGTTCGCTGGATCGTCGTCAAAGGGAAGGTAGCCAGCCAACATTGCGTACTAAATTCTGGTCAGCTTCTGCATCAGCTATTCGCCGAGAAAATCATCGCTTACCAAGATTACACCGCAGCTCCATACATCAACCTTGCGGCCGGTGTATAGAGAATCGCTCACAACAAGCTCTGGCGCAGCGTAGCAGGGACTGCCGCAACTTGTCTGCATTAAGTCGCCCTTCCTTGTGCCATTGGTCTTGACTCTATCCAGTCCCAATTTCTTGACAAAGTCACGGTCGCTGAGATTGAGTTCTTCCTCTTCGGAAAGCTCTTCCTCGGCATCGAAGGTGTTGGCGAAACCAAAATCCGTGATGATTATGTTGCGATTCCGGTCCAAAAGCAGATTCTCCAATTTGAGATCTCTGTGAACGATGCCTTTCTTGTGCAAGTAGCCGACACCAGAAACTAGCTGGGCGAACAGCCTTCGCGCGGCATTATCCTTCAGGTAGCGATGGTTCAGAATGTAGTCGAACAGCTCACCACCAGAGGCATATTCGAGAATAATACCAATGTGCCTCTCGGTTTCGACCATCTCGTGAAGGCGGACGATATTAGGGTGAGAAATGCCCCGGAGGATAGCAATTTCGCGATAGATCTTGGCCAATCTGGAGGGGTTGTTGCCGACACTATCCCGCTTGATCAACTTGATAGCGACCTGTTGATGAACTGTAAGCAAGAATCTCAAAGCATCTCGATGGGTGAGCAACTTACTTGCACATTGTTATCGTTTTTCCAGCCGAGCTTTACTTTTCCGAACTCGCCCTCGCCGATGGTATTTCCAAGAACGTAGTCGCCGAACCTGACCACCTTCTCACGCTTCCCGGAGTGATCATGCCGGCTTCTGCCGCCACGTCTGCCATCATCATGCTCGGACATGCCGACGATTGGGGGAGGTGCGGCGTCATCATGTGATGATCCTATGCGCGTAGACTGAGCTTCTGCCAGTCGCTCCTTTTCGCGGGCGATGTCTACTTCAGGCTGAGAGACCACCATTCGGTTGAGAACCTCGCTTGCTTCGCGCGAGGGCTGCTTGGGTGATGCTGTTGTTGTCTGGGGAGGTGCATGTGATCGTACAGGAATCACAGTCGGCTGGCTCCCAGGACGGTTGCCGCTCGATCGATGGGGGGAGTCAGGAGGCATTTGTTGGTGCGATCTTCTGCTGCGTGAAGCGGCACCGTCGTCGGAGTAGGTATAATCGACATTACCATTCGTTCCATCTGCTTGACCGCGTCGCGGTGACGATGCCGCCTTGTCGGCAGCGTGATCGCGTCTTTTCGTGGTAGTCGTAGTGGTAGTAGCGCCCGAGTAATTCGTCGAGGACGTTCGAGGGGGGGCAACGGGAGGCATGTTTCTGCGTTGTTCGGAAGATGAGGATTGGTAGTCTGGGGAAGAGGGCGCGACGGCGACAGGGCTGGCGGGGACAACTCGGGACGTCATGGGCGAAGTCGGGTCCGGAGTGTTTACAGACGCGCCGTTTCCGCTCGGTCGACTCGAGGGGCGTTGTGACGATGCAGGAGAGGCAAAGTTGTTTTGCAGATTGGCATTGTACGCCTCGTGAGATGGGGAAGAGTGGTTCGACGTGTACTGCCGGCTGCTGGGTGAGGCTGCGACCAAAGGCGGTGATGCCAGAGCTGTTGTGTGATGGGTAGGCTGCAAAGCGGCCGAGGACATGCTTTTGCAACAGTGGAAACGCAAGCGCGCAAGGAAATAGACTTCGACTGGGCGGCGGTCCTAGTCTGGTGTGTTTTGGTCCCGCGATTGTCGCTAAGATGTCGGTCTGCGATGTTGGTGCGTTTTGGAAGGGGTCAAGGGAGGCTGGTATGTTGGCGGAGAATTGAGAGAAGCGAGCAAGAGGCCCGTAAGCGAATGCTGTTCAGCGAGGTAGAGTTGCTCGCTGGGCACCAGGTTTCAGGACGCTGGAATTATTGAGCTGCAGGAATTAATTCGGCCTGAATTGGTATGGGACGGACGAGCCCGCCGATTGGAGGTATTAGGGTCCTTGGATAGGTCGTGTTGTGAGAGTCTGCTGTGCCAATGAATCGGGCCAGTCTATCTCATGGTGTGGGCGGAAAGGGTCGATTATTTCCCCCCCCTTGGGCTGAGGGCTGCGATTTGTTGTTTATTGTAGCTTGACCCTGACGAAATGTATCGGTGACGATCGTTTTGGGCGGTAAAGTCGAGTCGAGTCAATGCAGCAACAACACTGGGAACAGTGACGCGACAAAGGGGCAGTGGTGCACGTACACACTCTGCTGTGAAAGGCTGTGCGACGGATTGATACCTATGGCTTTGAACCTATGCCCTCGTCTTTTCTGGCTTGTCCTTTGACACCGTCTGAGACCAGACGGGGGGTGCAGACAGGAGGAGGAATGGGCAGTAGAGAAAAACAGTTACAGTCGTGTGTGTGTTTGTCGGTGAGGTGACCCTAGTCGAGGATGAAGAGGCAGGCTGGATGCAGTATGGCGGTGGGAGCCCAGTATGTTGTAATTGGAACCAATTCCCTTTACCGAACCACTGAGGGCTTATCTGGTCTGGCTTCGAACGATCAGAGGAGCTATCGCCAGCAGGTCGAGGAGACCGAGACAATAATGATTGCGGGAGGCCCGAGTCTGATTGTAGGCTTTTTGTCGACGGTTGAAGTTGTCGATGGCGCGCTTCTCTCCTTTGGCGGGCTCGAGACTAGCGGCAGACTATCGGAGCGAGTTGGATCGCCGGTCACAAAAACAATACCAGTGACTGACAACGCAGACCAAACGGGGTCGTTGGTGCAGCGAATTCAGGTACAAGCGGGATGAGGTAATGCGCGGTGAGTGCCCAAGTTGGACTTTTGGAGCGAGAGGCGGTGGGAGTCGAGATGTGGAGGGCGAATGAGGGCGAACCAGTCCAGAATGAGAGAAGAGAGACAGGCGGGATCGGGAATGGGCCTCGTCTTGGCTTTTGGGCGAGGGACAGAGAGAGAGAAGGAGAGCGAGAGGGTTAGGAAGAACGAACGGTCAGACGCTCTCGTGCTCGTCAGAATAAAATTGAAGAGATGAGACTTGGGACAAGCTGGAGCTGGTCCAAGGTTGGAGTGAATGGCCGAGTGAATGCGCCCGATATTTGGAACAGCGCAACTGCGGGAGCGCAAGAAACAGCCAGCCCAAGGTCGTCAGCCAGTCAGTCCAGTCAGTCTCGAAAAGAGAGGAGAGACGTCAAGAGATTGGGTGTGAGCGGGCGGCGGGCGCGAGAGAGAGCCAGCAGCAATGGCAGGCCGCAGACTCAGAGAGAGTGAGAGAAAGCGCGCGATTGAGGAGATTCCTGGTCGGATCCAAGGTAGGTCCCCGGGGGTATCGTGTACTTGCAGGGGTGAGGTGCAATGCAACTTGTAAGTACCGCCCAAAGAAAGTGAAGGCGGAGATGTGCGTGGGCCTCAGGGGGGAAAAGCGGGGAAAAGGGAGCAGGTGCGGTACATGCAACTAGGGACGGAATGCAGGTACCAGATACTCGCTAATATCCGCTAACGCTGCCACTACTGCGACTGCGACATGCAACCGCGACTGACTGCTTTGCTTTCGTGCCTTGGTGCTTCGTCTGTTTCGTTCTCTGTGCTTTGAACGAGGTTGCTGCCAGGTCTATGACACTCACTGCTGCACACTGCAAGTGGAAGGAGAGAGAGGCGCAGGTGTCAGAGTCGCGACGTAATTAGCTGATAGCGCTGCTCTCGCTGGCTGTATGTGTGAGGTGAGGTCGAGGCAAGGCGAGGTAGGATTCCGTCGAGAAAAGCAGCACTCTAGCCGTACGTAGAGAGAGAGGCCTGCCCTATTTTCCTGTTCCGCCCCAACTGAGTGGATGACCGTGACCACCCGACGTAGACTGGACCGTATTGATCGTAGCAGGAAGAGGCGAGGAGATGCCGTCTCGTTAAATTATCTCACTTACGGCTGTCCAAGCACCAACACCAATTTTTCAGAGGGCCGGCGCGGACTGTGGCCAGTGGGCAATTTGTCGTTTCTTTTCTCCCTTGGAGGAGACGAGGGGGGCCCTTTCCGATCCAGCTTGGTCTTTTCCTTGGTTCCGTGACTTTTCTCGGCCGGCCTATGTTGCTGGCAGGCGGCAGCTGGCCCGAGAGTACGTGCTTAGGTCGGTAAGGTAGGTTAGGTATTCGTCCCCAATAATCTCCTCAGTGCAGCGGCGCCGGAATGGACTGATGTTCCCTTTCGTATCCAACCTTGGTTATCAAGTGACGAGATGAAGTTGACGTGCGGGGCTCAGATGAGAGGATCGAGACCTGAACTGCCTATGCCCTACGGAGTAGGTAGTGCCTAGTGCAACAAACTTGTACTCCGTAGTCGAACAATAAATTATCTTCCACCCAGTGTGACACCTGGCGTAGACGGGTAGGTATGCTTCGAATTGGCGTGTCTGAGTTGATGTCTCAGCCCAGAGCAGCGCATAAGCCTTTCACGCCTGTGTAAGTCGAGAGGAGGCTTTGAGCTTCTGTGTAAGATGCGGAAGCAGGAGGGCGTTGCACAAGAGCCGAAACGTGGGTGTGGGTGTGGCTAGTGCGGATGCTGGTGCTAAGAACTTGCACCGGCGCTGGCGCGGTTTCTGATATTTGCCGCTGGTGATCGGTCTTCTAATTACTCGTACATGTGAATGTGGAAGGGAGTGGCTGGAATTCGATATCAACCAGCTTGAGGTCCAATGCCAAATGACACAAACAGCCGATTGTTGATCAGAGGAGAGGAGACGGGAATGAGGAGAGGAAGCGAGCAAGACACTCGGATGGGACGGGAAGAGGAAGAAAGGGAGCAAGCGATGCAATCGGAAGGCACGTCAACCTCAGAAGGAAGTTCCTACTATTGGAAGGCAAGGCAGGTACGGAGGAGACGGAGACGGGTGGCGGCGGCGGAAGAGAAGGAACGAAAGATACAGGCGCCATCCAAAATAGGTACCTACCTTGAAGTAAGGTAGGTAGGTAGGTAGCAATGTTGCACCTGCCTCCCGTCGTCCAGTCTAGGTATCAAGTCATTCTCTCCTTCCCGCGATCTAAGCATCCAAGGCACCTGCCTCTTTCAATCGCTTTACCTACTTGTCCAAGGTACCTTGAGGTCAGTACCTACCTATAGCTCGTCGACGTTCCATTATCTTCTAAACATCCTCTCGCTACTTCGCATCCTACCTTATTCTACATGAACGTTCTCCCGTCTCCATGATACAAATCTCTGCCTCTAGCTACTCAAGCTTCTCCAGCACGCTGGGATCTGCCCTCGGCTTAGGCATTGACGTGACACCCGAACCCGACTTCACCTGAAGCTCGAGCTCTCTTCCTCGACAGCCCAGACGTTATTTTTCAAGGAATCTAGCCAGCATGAGCACAACGGCAGGCGGCGCCGCAGCGGACTCTCGGTGCAACTGGCTAATTGGCCCATTGGGTTCGTACGGATAGATCAAGCTGGCATCAAGCCTCCAACTCGCGTCCCACTTCGTTCGAGAAGACTGAAGGTTCCCGCTTCGCACGCTCCGGCAAGTTGGCAACACTCCAGCTTCATGCCTAGCCCCATGTGCTTCGTCTTTTGAGATGGGATGACCCCTCGACAAGGGTTACCGCGGATCATGCAGCCCATCTACGAATATCTGCCCGCTGTGAGTGTGAGTTCACGTCTTTTCTTTCTGTCACTTCGTACCGAGTACTCTACAACCAGATGACTGAGTGTGCGCCTAGTTTGGAAAGGTCAACATGGGGAACCGAACAGCAGTTTGCCGTCCGAAAGCAGGTCGGCTACTAGCCGTCAGGTCCAGCCTCGACACCATCCACAGCTCATCGCCAAGAGGCGACATGCGATGCATGGCGTGCCGAGCGTGGTTGGCGTCGCCAGCAGTGGGACGCAGATGCAACTTTTTCTACGATTCATGTCTGGCACAAATCACTCACCAATCACTCGTCCATATGTATATGCTTCTACGACTGAACCGCATTGAGGGCATCTGCCCTTTCCTTATGCAGTAGTCAACTGCAGAAGCTACAGAGTCGCATCACGATTTACCTTTGCGTTTAGTCGGCCACCGTCAAACGAAACACCTCATACCCCTGCTGGTGGGCTTGGTGTCCAGGCGATAAAGACCGGGGTATCGACATGGTCCAGGGGTCATGTCGTTCTGACTTGTCATCATCACCAGGACCAGCTGCTGCCGCACCACTGCCCAAACCGGTCGACTGTCCTGATCCTCCCGCAGAGATTTGGATTTCGTCCGATTCCTTCCCATCCTCCGTGTCCATCGTTGACCAGGAGGTGTACGCCGTAGCTTGTTGCATTCCCAGTCAGTCAACTATGCCACGTTCTGCCTCGTGCATTTTGGTGCAGCGCGGCTCTATTCGACATCATTTGCAAAGACAGGATCGTCCTGTCACCCAAGAGTTGCGGCATAATTGCAGACGGCTGCTGGTTTACGCGCTCGAGACCGCAGCGAGGTCCCTTGCATTGACGTGGCAGACTGCATTTCTCCAAATTACCGTCCAAAACCTGGCTGGTTGGCGGGCAATGTCTGCGAGACCGGACTGTCGAGTTCCCCTCGCTCTTCAAACGACGGATCGCGTGTTTGCGCATCGCATGTCATTTGGCACCAACACTCTCCTCCCCACACATCCATCCTAATGTCGCCGTCCCCATCGCCTTCGCATTTTGCCATATCCCCAATGTTTATGCGCACCAAGCGGTTGGATCTGATGGCGCATGGTTCAAAGACGACTCGAGGTTTACTTACCTACTAGGTTACCCGATTGTCGCGCAGCATCCCTTGGCTTAACGAAGTTACCTTCATCTTATTACTTGGATGGCTCACTCGGCGGCTATCCTCAGCCATTGTCAATGCAAGATACGCACAAAAGTATTCGATTCTGCTCCGTACCTTATTCCACCAAGCTTCTGGGTCTTCATGCTTCACTCTCCAGCCAACTCACCCTTGCCATCAATTCGCTCCAACTTGATTCGCCTGTCTCATTATAATCAATTATTAATGACCTTCTACTCCGTACCTGTACAGCCGTCCCACCCTCGTGGATGGAATTCCGTCCTACAGGCCCCATAGGCTCCATGACACTTCGAGATATTCGCTTGTCTTTGTGCTTTGGAAGATCTACCCCGGACGATTGTTCGCTTTGGAGACCAATGTTGCGCCTGTTCGCGGCAGATCCATGTCCTGTGCGAGCCATCAATAATCTTACATGGAGGTAAACGGCATTTTGATATTCTGCTGATTGGTTGCAGTCCACCATACCGTACAAAGCCCGACCGTTTGCTCAGCTTATCAAGCCAGATACAGAACTGACTGAGCCGATTTGCATTGACCATGCTCTCCGAGCAAGAGCAATACCAACATTGAAGGCGAGCATCTTTTGCCAAGATCCTCTTGAGGCGACACTGGTTTGTCTGATCATTGCGAACTTACGAAGACGACCAAAGTCGTGTCCACCATTAAGCCAGCATGAACATCGGAGATGAGGCGCATGGCGCTTGACCGGGGTCTGCCTGCGTCAGCCGAAAGAGAATCTGTCCGTCATGAGCAGGCTGAACTTTTTGAACTTCTGAACACAGCTCGAAATGGCCCCGGCTCGACTTGCCAATTGAGTGGATTCAGGGCTAGCCGCAAGTCATGTCACTTGGCACCGTGGCACCTTAAGATTTGCGTTTCCCAAAAGCACTTTCGCATCCTGAAAAATGCACGTGCTGATGGGGAGGAGGGGCTTGTCAAATGACAGCTATCTTCTTGTGTTTTCTTGAAGTTCGACTGCCCAAAGACCCCCTCTCGGTCAGGTCTTTCCGAATGTCCCCCATAGCCATACATCAGGTCAACTAATCCAGATTGTCATTCGTCTCCCCCCGGTTCTGGAGCAAGCGAGCTGCCCCATCAAGATGATCAGCCCGGGACAGCCCAGCAAGACAGCCCAGCCAGACTCGGCACTTGGGCCATAATACCACAGTACACTATCCGCACATAGATGTGTTGTCCAGTGACATCATGGCGGTTCACTTGCAGACGTTGACAGCCCTGGCGGGCTGTCGTCGTGTATGGATACAGTCGAAAACCAGGCGAACGTATTTCCCCGATCTATGCAGAGTACAACCGCCACAACTATCCCCGAAACGAGTTAATCGACGGCGAAGGATAGATATCTTTGGTCGTACACGACAGCAGAGAGCAACGAAGCTGCTGACAACGGCCACATCATGGATGACCTCCAGCGACGAATCCACGGACCGCAGTACGGATAGACGAGGACGAGCCCACTCATCAAAGGCCCAGAAATTCGCGAAAAGGCGCGACGCGTCTTTATTTTAATTCCACCTAACCCAGTCCCAATTCCCCATCTTCAAATAACCCATTACCCAACTTCAACTTGGGCCATGCGGCCCAATGAGGCAAATCCACAATCCCCCCCAAAGACCACAGGGGCGACCCCAGCAAGTTCGAGCAAACACGTTGACGAACCACCCGTATCCGGACATCGGATTCCTGTCCGGGGATCTTTCGTGTCGACCCAAATGTGTCTTCCTCAGGACCGTACGTGTGTATCCGTAGGGTCCGTAGGTAACAAGTCGGCAGAGGGGGGAGCAACGTGGCAACCCACCTTCGACAATAAGTCCACGCGTTCGACTATGCAAAAGTTGTGTTGGTCGGTATGCGGCAATGCTATCCAAACGGGGTTCCCGGCGATCTCGAACCAACCAACCCGGGGACCTGGACCAAGTTTTTTGGTAACCCATTTCGTTGTTCGATTCTACCTGTTTGCCTCGCCTAGCTCAGAGCCAGTCAGCCCTGTTCTGTCCAGTGATTGAAGTCTGCGCTCACCGAGTATTCTAGAAGATTTCCAAAGAAAAACCCGGCGGTGTGGATCGAGGGACAAACCCGTCAATGCAAGGGAGCCGCACGCCCGGCCACCGCATTCTTCGAGGGAACGAGAAGAGAGATACCCAAGTCACACCCAACCGCGGGTCGTGGAAAAAAGCTTTGTCCAGACTGCGTTTGCCAAGTTGTGAGCAACTTCGAAGCTTTGTCCACGCCGTGGTGATGGCTTTCTCTCATGCTGGCAGTGAGATTTTTGCTGTCGTACCACCGGAATGCAGAACAATTTGTCAAATTCATCAGCCTCGGGGGAGATCCTCGAGGGAACCTCTTTGATGTCAAATCGTAATCAGTCAGCTGACTTTCTGCGGTTTTCCGGTGGCTCCGTCACAGTAGATCATGTTTCCCGGGGTTGTCGGGCCGCTGAGGCTATTGTCAGGAACTGGCGCCTATCTCTATGGAGGTTGATCAGACGCTTCGCGGCCCGGCCATTCTCGAAGCGACATGCCGAGTCCGAATAGACGTCGGTATAGTGCCTCATTGAGATACTTCCAGCCGTCCTTCTGTGCCAGTATTACATGGTGGGTGAGATGTTTGTAGCCGTGTAACTTAGATTTTATTTCGACGTCTATAACTTGATGGAGATATTGTACGCATCCAGTCCGAGAGCGATGCCTGTGATTGCTCCGCTGTACGCAACCAAGATACCCATTGTTGCCATGGGTCCAAGATGAAGTGTCGGCACAGTCATGTTGACCAGTCCCGTCAAGACATTTGCGATGAGGAACAGGAACAAGCCATTGCGGTTGTAGACGCGGAACACCTTGCTAGTCGCGGTCTCATACGCTTCCTTCTCCGTCCTCGCGTCAGTCGCATTATAGACGGACGGGAAGAAGAAAGTGTCCACTAGGGCGTATGCTAGAAGTTGTGTCGAGTTGAACGCCGCGGTCCACAGGACATAGGGGAGGTTAGCGAGACGGCGCGAGACGTTCAGACCGTCGCCGTAGCTGTTGCTGGTACTCAGGAAGTATAGCCCTGTCCACACAGCAGACCATATGGCCATCATCATGAGGAGTGTCTTGCGCTGAGTAGCAGGATTGGAATCGCCCTTGGTGTGGAGACTCCGAGGCAGGACGTACATTCCTGTATCCTGTCCCGCAAGGAAGATGGCCAGGTAGCCGAAGAAGCTAAAGATACCTTCACGGTTCTTTGAGAATAGGTCGGTCCTCGGCGCAGTTAGGATGTAAGCCTTCAGGTCGGTGCTTTCCAGAGCCACCTGATACAGCACACTCAGGATGATTGCAAGAGCGGCGTAGCTAGGCACAATTTTGAGCGCAGACTGGAAGATGGCAACAAACGGCGGCAGGAAGCCCAGAGTGAAGAAGAAGTTCCAGTGAACACCATACTCAGTGACATGTTCGGCGTAGTCGAGACCCTTGACACTGAGCAAGCGGATGACGCCCAGCACGAGTAGCGGTAAGGAGTGGCGCATCGACTGGAGTAGACGTGTCATCAGGGGTATCGATCGACCTTCCGCCCGCTCTTTCAGGACGGGCCGAGCAGCGACAACGCCGGCGCTGAAGACGAAGGATCCGACGCCCATGTCCATCAGCGATGTTCCCCATGTCTCAACCTTGGCGAAGCGGCGCGGGAAGAGTTGGAAGTCGACGGCGAGGATGGCGATGCAGGTGATAACCATCATGCTACCCCGGTAGTGTGTTAGGAAAGGCTTCACGGGCAGCACGGAGAGCGGCCCGGCGCCGGAGCCGGGCTTGGGCTTCGCATTGGGGGGTATAGCGGGCTTCTTGCGACTGGCGCCCAAGTTGGGAGGCAGCGTGTAGATGAGGACGGCGGGACCGAGGAGGAGGGCGCAGAGTAGCAAGGGAGATGAGGCGTAGAGAGTCGTGGATAAGAGGATGGCGGTGACGTTAAGGAGGAAGTCGACGGCAGCTCCCAACAGCGTGTAGGGTTTGAAGAAGGATTGGCGTGATTGGAGTACAGACCACAGCAGGACGGCGACCTGGAAAGGAATGCGAATGTCAGCACGTTGCTTTGTCTCGATGCATGCGCTGCGCGGGGGGCGCGTGGGATGTGAAGGGGGGTGTCCAGCAGCAACAACAGGGTATCAGGGGATCAGGGGATCAGGATGGCAGATCAGAGTTTTTGTTCAAAGAAGATAGTTACGCACGGGAGCGACTGCAGTCACATAGTTGATTTCGGAGGCGGAGCCACCAGAGAGGTTGGAGACAAAGTCTTCCTTGAGCTTCTTGTAGCTCGCGGCCGTAGCGTCGGACATGTTTGCGATGGCTCGAAAGAGAGTTTGGGTTCTTGGTTTCTGGGAGAAACAAGGAATGTGGGAGATGTTCAATGCATGTTCTAAGAGAAGGGAATGCTTTTGAAGACGGCGAGCATTGCTTTTGCCCGGTTCAGCGAAAAGAACAAGCTGTTCGTTGTTGTTCTTTTGGCGATATGGTTTTTTTTTTGGTTTTTTAACCGGTAGTTGCAACGTCAACCTTTCTTGGACGTTCTTTCTCTGTCTCTCCACACTGGAGTACAGAGGAAAGACGAGACGAACTCTGGCCAGAAGGAGCAGCAGCAGCTTGGGAGGAAAGTGGTCCAAGCTCCTTCCTTCCAGATGGCACAGGCATCTCTGGATAAAGCACATACCTATCTTAGTAAGGCAGAGCTGGTACGGAAGGTGGAAAGTAAGGTAAGGTAATCCGGGAGGTAAGGCCAATCATCAGCTCTTTCCGCAGCACCGTGTGGGCCTTGGTCCGATGGCTTCGGAGGCACGGAGAGGAAGGAAGGGGGCTTACGGCATACCTGACACAGAAATCCTCCGTGCCTTCCGCCGTCAAAGGAAAGCTCTGGGGACGGGGCAAGCTTTGGGAAGGCCAAGCTCAAGCCGAAGGCAGACACGTCACAAACATGGGCATTCCAGGAGCTTGCTCCGAGGTATCTTTACCTTGTTTCTTTCACTTCGTCCAGATATTCCTGGCGTTGTTGTTGCTGTTGTTGTCTCATCTCTCCATGTCTCCCACGCATACGACACATTCCACGCATCCATACATCCATCCATCCATCCATCCGCGCAAATCAACCAACCAAACAACTGAATCTCTTGTCTCTGCCAGACTGACACCTCTCATCGGTTTGTCAGCTCCCTTTTCGCCTCCCATTCCGCCTTTCCAGTCTTTCCAACCCATCACAAATCAAGATCTGAGATCCCAATTGCTGCCTGCCATCGTCTTGTTCCACCGTTTCCCACTTTTCGCCATCACGGCCGCAACCATTCCCCGCCGTGTCAAACATCCAAGACATACCGACGCCGTTGATGTTCCAACTCCACACTTTCCAGCTTCGCCCCCGGCCTCATTGCGGCATTCATCCAAAGACAGCTCTACATGGAAAAGAGAGGTACCTTTTGGTCTGCAGACAGAGCTACAGCCTACACATCCGTACAGTCTTGAAAACTTATTTACAGCTACATGGCCAGATGCAGCTAGGTACGCCAAGTTCGATTGGTGCGAGTGCGAGTAGAAGTGGAAGTGGAAGTGGAAGTGCAAGCGCGACTCCCAACCCAGTCACCGTACACCCCTCAGCTCTCAACCGTTGGTTGCAGTCTTTCTGCTGCTGCTCTGGCTGCTACCATGTCTCAACCCCGGACCGAAGCTCTGAGCTGGCCGTCTACCAAGAGAGAATGCGAGATGGGCAGAGCAATAGAAACTGCTTCTATGCGTCGAAGCCAACAACCTGCACCCCCAGGCCTCAAGGTGGCAGGAAAAGATGCACAGTGAGCCAATAATGTGGCCAGAAACATGACGAATCAAGGCCCAGACAAGCCACATTCCTTTGTTCTTCTCTATGGCCATCTGCAGACGTTCAATCTCAAGCCTGCCATATCCCCATGGGTTTGCTTCCGACAACCCAACCCACACGCCTGCTAGCTCATCTCCTTTGTTCTCATATGCAATGAGTGACATGGGCATGGCTGTTGGCCGCAACCGCTCATTGTCGCTTCATGCTTGACGACCGCATTCCTCATTACACTCCCACCGGGGCTTGCAGGCCCAAAGCAAAGACTGTCCCCGCCTTCTGTACACACCCTTTCTCTGTCAGTGACAGTCTGTCAGTCTCCTCTTCTTTGCATCTTGCCTGTCTTTCTTGTCTTCTTTGAGAGAGCCCTACCGTGTCTACCAGTCCTTTCATTTTCTGATCCCGGCAGTTGCTGCAAGTGCCCTTTCTCTCTTTGGGCACCTAAAGAAACTGGTGGGAGAAGTCCAAGACTTGCAGACAGACAGACTCACAAGGTCTTCCGCAAAGATATTAATTAACCCTTTTCGTCCCTCCATCCACCCAAGACATAAGAGAAGCCCTCCTCCCTTGATCAATCCCTACAGGGCTACAAACTCTTGAACTCTATTACCCCCATCCCATCATCTCGGTTGCACATTCCGATCTTGGGATCCATTCATCATTACTCAAAAATATCAACTTGATCCCTCTCTTCTTCCCTCACCACTTGATATATCCTACAAGGCATTCACCTCTTTCACTTTCAAAAACCACCATGGCTACCCCGATTGAGAGTCACCCTCGTACTAGCCTTCACCCTTTATGGACACCTTCATATAATCAAGGCGGATTTCCTCGTTCATCGACTTCAGGCAGACAAGCAGCCCCTAGTTCGTATTACAGCCCATCTGACCGTTCACCCAAAAGCCTGCCTACTCCGGTCTTTCCTTCCAACGATGGCTCGATGAGACAACATGAGCGGGCCATGGTCGACCGTCTCGGCTCCAGACTCCGACAAGCACCAGGTTCCGGTGATCTTAGCCCGCCAAAGTCAGCAAATCGGCCGAGCCCGCTTTCTCCTCTCGCAGAGCACTCAGCAAGTGATGGCAGACGGTATTCGGCCGCTCCTATAAGCCCTCGCCGGCCAGGTCCGCCGCCATCAGCAACTCCGCTCTCACCACCCATGGCTAGCCCTAGGATGGTAAGCAGTGTCCGAAGACAGACTCTCGCAGCGGAGACCCGATCGATGCTTCTCGCTGGTTTGGGCGAAGAGGCACAACGACGACAGTCTGTGGCAGGACCTGGATACGTTGCCAGATCCAGGGAGGCTGAGAAGCGCATCCAACTTGAGCAGCTGCGAGCATGGGGCCATGTGTATCTTGGTGATGCCAAAACCTCCGACGTCTTTGTCCAAGCTGTGTCTCTTAATCGTCGAAGCTCTAATGCGAGCACCAACTCGGATCAATCTGCTGGAGGCTCCTCGCCCCCGCGAATGCCGTCCACACCGACTCTGCCACCTCACCAGCGGATGATGAAGTTTCGAGTTCGTCCTCGGGCCCTCGAGCGCAAACCGATGCTTATCACTCACACTTTCGACATTGAGCAATTACGCTCCACTATCGCGGACCCGTTGCCAAGCCCTGCTCCCGCTGATCAAAGGCGGCGGCCATCTCTGCATACTCAGGCCACTTCACCGCTGCCAAAGGCCTCATCTCCTCGACCGAGTGCGGCACGAAGGCGGTCGAGCAGTGCAATTCACAGCACGCTCCCTTACAGCCGCGGGCTAAAATCTGGAGATCCTCGCGCGGCCTCATCGCGTGGCGCCGACACTATACCAATCCGTAAGTAATGTCTTGTCTAAGTTTATCTCCTCTGACGTTTGCGGACTTGAACCTTTTGGGCCATAGCCTCCAAGGCCGGCTCCCTGCTACCCGGGTACAAGGCAGGAAATCCAAGGCTGACACCCAACCCACCCACAGATCTCCAATACGCCCGGTCCTCACTCCCGGTGTTGGCGGCTATCATCGTCTCTGGCACCATTCAGGCAGGCGACGTTGTCGAATTGCCACTACCGTATCCCGAAGTGTGGTCCCAAACAGTCACCTATGTCTACACGGGACAAGGAGACTTGACGGATGCAGTCAAAGAGAACATCCTCTACCTTGCTGGAAAAGTTTAACGCCCATGTCTGGGTCTCGTGCTTGTTTAACGACTTATGACTCTTATTTATTTCTTCTCTTTCTCTTGGCCACCTTTCTCAACGAATGCAGCACTCATATGCTTGCTCATTCTATGATCACGCGCTTTCTGGAGGGTTAGCGATCGTTGAAGGCCGTTTGCCTTCTTTCTCTTCTGTTCTTCAACACTCCTTTGTCCTCTTCACTCGGAGGACACCCTGTTCGCTATACAACTTTGGCATCTTTGCCCACATGACTTATGTAGTTTAATGATTTTCCTTTTCAATGCAGAGAACAGACTTACTGTCCATGAATACATACCAAAAGACATATTGCCGTCAACGTTTCCAAACAAGTGATTGCAAATATCTGGTCTTTCCTTTCAGACTTGGGAATGATTGCACCCCGGTCGAAAACTCAATCTCACCAGGCCACGAGTTGCCGGAACAGCCACACTTTGTTAGTGACCGCCCTATCCGCTGTTTGTTCCGCCGGGACGGAACGCAGGAGACTCTGGGAGCACAAGGCAGTGCTCCCTATTTGCCTACCTATTTTGTTTAGGGCAAAGTATCTTTACGTCCGCAAACGTGGGGCGGGTTTTTGGTTGTGGAACCCGCGCCTCAACATACGATGGGGGGGGAAACGCCCACGAGTTCTCTTTGATGGCCATAGCTTGCAGCGTGTTGCGCCCTCCCGGTATATGACGTTCTTGGAAATCACTGCGAAAGGGATTCTGGTGGTGTGGTTGATCAATCTCCTCCTATCGTGCTACTCAGCGTGTCAACCAACCTGGTCAGCTGGAGTCTGCTCCAGGAGGGTGGGGTTCCAAACTTGTTACTGCTGAGACCGACGTTGACAACGAGTTTGGTACCGGCCGAGAAGGACGTTTTCATGTCTTCGCCTCCCTCGTGTTGCTACCTAGTTTCTTTTTTGAACAACCTTGTCGGTTGTGTCTCTGATCTTTGGATCTTCTGAAATCTGAAGTCTTTGATATTCTAGGATTTTCTTTTTTTTTCTAAACACACCCCCCCTGTTTGTTCACACATCCAGAGGTATGTGGGCAGGCAACTTTCCCTTTCTAAAATTTTTGAGCGTCGATCTTGGACCCAGATCGCGGCGTTTTTTATTTCTTGTTCTCTTTTCGACCTTGACTTATTGATTATCCGTAAGTCCCGACCATCCTAACCCACTATCGACAGCGCCTTTGGCGGGAAGGAGAGCTGTCAGGTGGAGTCTCTTAGATCAGTGGCATACATCACATCCCATCCCTCCTTTTCTGCCTTTCTCGGGTTTTCTTAGCCATGGCAAGTAAGTGGCTACCTACCTACCTAGATAATAGGACCACGAGATGGCGTCCCGGAGGACTGCGGCAGTTGTCGCTTGCAAACTTTGCGAAAATACTCTATAAGCCTCAAGCCTCAAAGCCTCTCCCATGGGCGGCTGGGCCCCCCAATCTATTCTGTGTGCAGAAGTACGTCGGTAGGACAAAGGCGGCAAGGCGTTTTGTTTTTCTTTTCTTTTCCAAAAAGGTGTTCTCCACCATACGGAGAAATACCGAAGCAGAAGGGTAGCAGCCACGTCTTCTTCTGCTTAGGTACCTGCTCTCCATCACTGTAGGTAGGTGGTAATCCCATCACCCGAACATCCCCCACTCCTCGGGCCTTGTGTAACCGTCCGATCTCTCGGCAAGTGTGCGTGTGGCAGTGTGTGTGAGTGCGTGTGTTACCATTCGGGCCTTTCGATGACGTGGTGCGCTGAAGGCATCTTGTCTGTTTTCAGCATATCAGACAATTCCTTTTGTTTTTCCCGTCCTCCTTTTTTTGGGTCCTCTCGGACGGGGTCCCTTTTTTTTGGGTCTTGTCTCTGGGTAGGTCCCTCGTAGTTGCAAACTTTGCCAGAGTGGCAGAGAGCAGTTTGCTTGCGTGTCGATGAGCCCACTGATGTTTGTCCGGATGTGGTAAGTTCCTTCTCGGCGAGGGGACGGTGCGGCGAAAAGGTGCGGAAGTTCCGCTGATGGTTCCGGCCCGCGTATTCGGTGCCCCGGTATGGGTGTCGGTGCGGGGTTGGCGGGAGCTTTGATGTGAACGGCCGAGAGGCGGAGATGCGGAGAGGCGGGGAGGGCGGAGGCTGATGGGACCGGTTTCGGGGTTGTCCACTCCACCGGCCCGGAGGACGGGCCGGAGGTTCTTTTCCGCGGCTTGTATGTAAATGTAGACGTTGCCTGCTGCCTGGATATGATGGGCATGTTGGGAATTCTCCCGTTGTGCTTTTTCACTGTCTACTCATACTGATAATCTCGACAAATAGTGATATCGCAGACTGACACATCTCACACGTCGTTACTATTACGCAAAGAATGTTAAGGGGCAATTTTTTCATTGGACATAGGGCCGCATTTCTCAGTGATATCGAGTTCTTTGCTTGGTTCGCTTTCGATACTGCTCAATCGTCGCCCGAGACTTCCAACCCCGGTGCATACTTATCAAGCCTCACCTGCCCATCTCAACTACCTAAGGTACCTGATTTGTATGTCCATATCAAGGTCCCAAGTAGTGATCTATGCAAGCTTTCGATGGTTCCCGATTAATTCTATCACAACCACACGAAACTTCCTTCCCCGTATCCACCTCTTCGCAGGCACAGACAGTACGCGAAGAGACAGGCTATGCTATAACCCGCTCACGTTCGAAAGCCTTCGTCTAGGATCGAACTAAATCCTTCTCATAAATCCTACTTAAAGCATTGTGCTTATATTCTGTAAGGTAGGAGCCCAGGTGAACACGGGATACCGCTCTAAAACAAATGCACACGTGCAGCGGCTCCATGGTTGGAACTTCAGGTTCGCGGAAAGCACGAAAGCTTCTCAAACTGGTCCGACGAAGCTGTAGAATGAACACCATCAATTTCAGAATAGACGACCGAAATTCGACACATTTGCGTAGAAATGCTTGATACATCATCGCGATATTCAAAGAAAGGGACATCCCAGCTCGTTTCAACATATCCTCGATTTGAATGTGAAGAAATACAATCAGATGTCTCGATTCATCAGCCAACCCAAGACTGTTATTCGAAAGCATGGTGGTGATCAAGTCAAGGTCTCCTATCCTCTAGCTCCAAGAACTATCATACTTGATATTGGATTTTTACTGGGAACCACATGCACCGCTACATCAAAGACAGTTCCAGCGCGATGTGCTTCGCAAACGGAACATCGCCTTCAATTTAATTTACGCATCTTTAGCGAGTCTAAGACCCCTATTTCGTACCTTTTCTCTTACCTCTTGACAATAGGGACCGAGGCCGGTGCTGTGAGAGAGAGGAAGACTTGACATCGCCGCCAGCGTACAAGAGCCCCAAAGCGGCGGAAGGACTCTTGGGACATGTTACGAATTGGCCAGTCAAAAATTGGAAGCCTTTGCATAAGAGGAACGAGGCAAGGATCAATGGCCAAGAGTTTGGCGATAGACAACATTCAACCGAGAATTTAGACGAGACTCGGCACAAGGGACGTCGATGACGGTGCTTTCATATCACGATGACTGGCTCCCTATGACCAGCTCAGCTAGAGAACACGGCTACCAAGTTTTTGGATGATACGATTTATCTAGCATAGGGGTTAGGTGGAGGGAAAGATGTTTGGGCTGAGGAACAGATACGTTGAGGTCTCTCGAAATAGACGGCGAAAAAGCACATGTATCGCCGCTCTCTGGCTTCTATTCAGTTCTTTGCATGTCGAAAATTTCAGATTCACCATTGCTGTACACCATGCTGGTGTTTGTAAACCTAGATATCTTCTAGTAACTTCCGGTCGGAAAGATCCTATACAGAAGGATGACCGAAATACCGCCGGGTAGCCTAGTAGGACGTTTAATCCTGCCACGTACCGCTTTCCTCGCGTTCTTCCACGATACACTGGCATACCCCCCAAGTAGTCATCTAATCCCTGATATCATCACTGGCAAAGCTCACATTAAGTCTCAATATATCTCGCCTACCTTCTTTGGAAAGATCCCCTACCTAGGCGCACCTCTACAAATACCACATCCTAATAACCTCATCCACGAGCTCTATACAATCCCGTTGAAAATGGCCCGGAACTATTCAAAGACAGGAAAAATAGCGGCCATATGCTCTGACATTGTGGTTCCAAAGGTACCGACTGGGTCCAGCTTTTCCGCCTGCCACCCCTCGTGAAACTCTCCCCGGGGAGCAACTCGAGTTGGAAATGACAGATAGTAATGCCTTGCGGGATCCCGATATCTCGAATGATGTGTACCAAGAACCAGCCGTGACAACTTACCTAATTCACACTGAAACAGCATACTCAACATCTCAAATACATTCATGTACAGGAGATTCTTCACTTCAACCAGAGCAGATCCGAGATAAAGCTCCGATGCCAGGCTCTGTAGACTGCTCGCATTTATATTCGCCGCATACCCACCCATAACTGCATAGACGTCGATAGAGCTACTGAAGTACACATCCATGCTCAATCATGAATATAGGAGAGGGGCTTCAGAGCGCTTCTTCTGGTGGCGGCCGTATACGCTCGACAACCCGGTATCCGCAAAAGCCACATGGAAGAAAACCAACTTGCGTAATGAGACGAAGAGGGCCTGCCGAGTTGTGTCTTTGTAGTAAATTACACTACGTGTCACATAACGTAGTCGTCACCGTGATCGTGAACACTATGACGCTCTTCCGCTAGAGACAACTACACAGAGTCTGCGTCAGAAGATCATATCATCTATACTTATAAGAGCTTCCGGGTTCCTTAGACACCCTGAGAAAGACCGGCAAAAGTACCGATATACTCATGCTCCTCAAAATTTCAGCCATGCAAGACTGTTCGCGCCTATCAACAAGAGCAAAACCATATAACTCTATAAAGTCCGATGAAGATCTACCTCTTGTCAATCACCTCATCACAACTTTCCTCAAAGTCTGTGCCCCCAAGAGCAAAAAAGGAAAACTCTGTCAAACTCTGCCAAAATCAAGTACACCAAACTACCCACGCATTCCATCGACATGCCGGAAAGGGTCCTGCCATACATCCAACCTATGCTCCCGCATACTTCCAGTTCTCACCACCACCACACCAAAAAGCCAAGCCCTCGCGGCCCGTCGTCTCGGCAAAAGACAAAAGGTGGGTGGGTGTCCCTGCATCTACTCCAGACCGGGCACCGCTCAACCGATTCAACTGGCTGGACTTGCCGCCTCCTCTCTTCTGTTTGGCTTCCAAGCCCTTACATCTGATCCCCAGTCCATACATCCCCCATCCCTCGGCCAAAAAAGGCAAAAGCTTCCAGCGTCAAAGCAAAGCATCCAAGGACGCGGTCCTGGTGCGTGGCGCGGCGCGGCGCAGGGTCCCTTGGTTCATCTCCTCAGCTGTAAATTGTGAACCTACCACCACGACCACCCCCCAAATATCGTCTTTGGATGTGTCTGTGGCTGCCTCAAAGGCATGTGGTGATGCTGACACCCTGCAGGGCCCGCACATGCTTCATGGCCACAGTAAAAGAAAAAGGGCATTGACGCCAAAGTACCCAAATGGAAAAACCACCCAATAGAAGTAGAAAAGTGAAAAGAATAGTAGAAAGAGAAAGCCACCAAAACATGTACCGCAGAGCCAAAGGTCCACGACGCTAATGCCGAACTCAGGTAAGTCAACACAGGAGTAGCGGCCCGTTGAAATTTACCTCACTTTACTTTCTTCTTGTTGAACGGAGGCCTCGCTATAGTGTTCCTCCGAAAGCTTCACATGCTCGAGGTAGGTGCCTTACCTAGTATGCTCGCGCCGCATGCCTAGTCTCGTTGAGACATTTTTCTTCCCTCTTCCGACGTCTCAACCGCAGCAATGCAGCCATCATTCCGATCCAGTTCCCAGCTTTTCGCACCGAGGACGGGGAGCAGTTGGCCGAGCGATTCATCCATAATCTCGGATCTCCTGCAACCCAAAGGCAGCCACGAAGCCAAAAAAAAGATAGAAAACGCATCGAGGCCATTGATTGGCGTGCTATACGCTGGAGCTCACTCGAGCTCGCGTGGTCTTCTACTTAGCATCTCTACCTGGCTCCCCTTGGCCTACTTCTTCAAACACGACTCGATTGAGCTTGGGAGGAAGGAATTCGGCGAAGGGGGAAATAAGACTTTGTGGGAGAATCCCCGCTGGAGGCTGCTTTTCCACGGTATGGCAAAGACAGAGAGAGACAGAAAGGGAGGAAAAAGAAAGCATGTGAAAGATCGACAGCGGCTCAAATCCCACAGACACTCACCAGAAGACGATCATTCCCCACGTTCCAGCCCCATCACCACCAGCCAGATCGCTTCCCCGCGGGGATGAGGACCCCCCCGTTGCGAACCACCATCCAACTTCCCAATCGCACTCGGCCTCCGTTCCCAATTCGTCCATTGCGAAAACTCTATCTCTCTTCCTCTCAGTCCCATGTAACCAACGCACATGCCAAAAGGTTCTCGATGCTGGGCGAATGTGGCCAAATGCCTGTGTGTCATCCTTCAGTCGATTCGGGTTGTATCGCCTTCGCAAGCGCGGCCGTCTCATCAAAGACACGCATATGCCACATCGCCTTAGTCCCAGTGGCAGCGTTGGAGAATGAAGCTGTCCGGATCTACCGCACTTGTCTGCCTCTTGACCAAAGCACTGAATGGGAAAGACCGTGGTCAGCAGCTGTCCAGAGAAGGATAGGCTTCTTTTCCCATCAGCGGCGCTTCACCATGTAGCAGCACCTATTGAATGCGGCAGCCAGATCGTGGGCCCATTGTCGCATCGCGTATCTACCGGCATTCCAGTCTCTGCGCCGGCCACTACTCCGTGTCGACCAATAGTTCCAAGTAGAATGGTGTCGAGCCTGTCCATTGTGCCGTCCACGATGGCTATATCAGGTCGTGAGACCGCCAGCATGTGACTCCAAATACAAGCCACGAGGCACACGCCTTATCTCGGTTCTTGCTTGATATGGTCGCCAAGAAGTGTGTCAAGTTCACGATACTCCGTATACCGCGAAACTCCAGTCTTTGCCTTGACTTGGGTGCTAATGGGTACGAGAGCAGAGGCACAAGCCCCATCGATATTGCTCTCCACACTGTCAGGCCATCCATCTCACCAAGTTTGGCTATTGTCCCTTGTCACCTCCGCTGATGGGCCGCAGCGGGTGGACACTCGGAGGTCCCTAGAGCCTTTGCTGCAAGAAATCCTGCATCATGTACGCCCAGGCCTTGCTTGACAATCTGGCTTATGTTTGCAAGCTCGTACAGCCACGCACCCTCTTCTTCATCGTCTGGAGACAGTAATTAGTGAAGCCAGACGAGACCCCGTCATTCGAGGTTCAACCACCAACCTCACCACTCCACTTCCTCGGAGGTGGTGGGGGAGGGGTTGTGTGTGTGTCTGTGTGATACGCGCGCGTTCTTATGGGATGATAGGTTCACGCCGAGAGCTTCGGGGCTGGTTGAGACGCGGGGGCGTGGCTCCATCCACTTGGACGCACTGGCAGGGTCCTGTCAGTCAGGCAGCCTGTTCCTCGTTTTGGTCGATTCTTCAGTACAACGACGTCGATTCCGCAGCTCGGCCAGGCCTCGGCCGGTCCTTGACGCCAGTTGTGTGGCCCCTCCAGGGTGTGTTTGTTTCAATAATCCCCATCCTCGTTCCTTGGTGGTACAAAATTGACAGAGTTCCTGTTCATGACCCATTTGTTTGGCTTCACTTAACCCCTCATGGTAAAAAATAAAAATAAGCGGTGGACGCCGCAGCCGCGATGAAAACCCGCATCTGTCGGGGTCATGGCTCGCTCGGACCGCGCTGAGAACATGGCAACAATTTTGATGATCAATGTCGTTCTTGCGATAACACGATCCGATATGCTCAAGCAACATTTGGTGTTGTAGGTTGAGCGAAACAGGCTCAAAACCATTCGGCCCCCATTTGCCAGCAGATGTTACGATGGAATATCAATTGTGGATATGGTCGTAGAATGGGTGTGAGGGTTCGGCATGGGTCTCCGATTCATGAACAATTTTTGTAATGAGGCTCCCGTCGAGAGGAGGATTACCGTAAACCAACTCAATTGGCGTGGTTTCGCGTGGGGGCTGGAAAGGAAGTGTGACAGCATGCCTTTTGCAGTGGGTTGAAAGGCAACATTGAGCTTACAGCCAGACTGGTTCGACAGCCGTAAACTCATGCTCCCTGATTTCTTTTCTGGCTTTGATAAGGTTAGTAAATTGATGACCAACTGAACAGATTCTGCACTGAAGCAGCAATAGCTCGTAGCCGATGGCTCGATGAAGCATCGGCTCCAAGTCGTCGCACTCTCGTGGGATGCAGGAACCTTGGTGTCGACACTGCCTGGTGATTCCCGGGGCATTCCCTGAATTAGACCAAGAAGGGTACATGTCCAGTACCGCGCTTGTACCTCGAAGAGGCTGGTGTTGAAGGCCTGTTCCATTGGTGGCATCGGTCCTGGGCATACCCTCCGTCAACGGATCCTCCTCTTCTTCATCGTGAGTGAGTGAATAGCGTGTGGATATCCATGGCGCCCTTTTCTGCAGCTAGTGACCAAGATGCTCGAATAGGCTGAACCAACGGGCCAAGGCGCCCACCAGCAGCGCCGCTTGGCGCACTTCTTTAGGCTTTGACTTCTCTCGTACGTGATATCACGTTTCCCAACGAAGAGGCTTGTCGCTTTTGGGTTTTGTGAAGAACCGTTGTCGCATTGCGCTCTCTGTAGCCCAGACGGACCTACCAATAATTCTGAAGCTCATTGGACAAGATCAGACGATCTCGCCATTGCACTTTGACATGGCATCGAGCAACTGGCGAAGCACCCTTGTGGCGACATGAAATTCTTCAACGGCTCGCAAAGACCGAAGATGCTTGTGTGGATCGAGGGATTGCTGATGACATCTTGAGGGTACGATTCCCTCTGCCATTGTTGGTTCCGAGCCTCTTGAACCTGCATGATAGTGCGCGCTGAGGTTACAGCGAACCAAGAAGCGCGAGTGGGTTTCCCCCTCCTAGGCCGGGACATTTTCGAGACGGAGCTCTGCCAATTCTCTTATTTTCTTGGTTGACGTGGCTCTCGTTCCCCATAAATCCGTGGTGGATACTGAACATTTACATGGGTTTGTCTTAGTGTAGGAGCCCCCCCTGGTCGCTGAAGAAGAGCTGGCCCGGTCGATGTCGTGATGGAATGATGCTATCATGCGGGGTTGACTGGACACGGAGGAGAAAGTCGAGGAAACCCACCAGCAAGTCTCCATCCACCCCCTCCTCCAAACCAGGTCTCTCGAATCGACGCGAGGGCGGGAAGATCGTGAGCCTGTCCATCCGGGCTTGCGACGGACAAAGTTTGCGGAGAGCAGATTGCTGACAGGCAGGCGTGGTATAGTGCTGTGCACTACAGGCGCGAGACGCGGCCTGGATCGCACGAGGTGCTTCCCCGGCGGATCTCGGGCTGCGAGCATGAACGATTGCGATGCATATTGATGTCAACCATGGTTGCGCAGCCGCAGATCCAGTGTCGCAGAATGGGGCCTAGCAACGAAGATGGGGCACAAGTCCCTTCTGAATGATGCTATCCTTATTCCCGTATCTTTCGATGTCCTGGCCGCATGGAGTGTATCTGTAGCCAGAGAGCCTATAGCTTCTCAGAAATGATGATTTGTTGAGCACTAATAAGCACGCCCGTACTTTGTTATAGTATCCGAAAGTCTCCGTCTACGTGTCGGCAAAGCGGGATAGACGGGCAGCGCGAAGACGACGCTGACCCACTTGGCTAGATCGACTCCGCCGAGCTTCGGCCATGATCAGCCTCTATACTCTGGGCGTGCGGAGGATCGTGACGAGGGTCAGGGCTAGGGTTTTTTCTTCTTGCTCGCAAGATGCCCGTACGAATCCGTACCCCGTACGCATGATCCGTATCCGTACTGACTGCGGCGCTGCGCTGAACTTGAAGTTGATGACCCGTCTGGCAATGGTGACTCGTGCGAAGATAGGTAGCAGTGGCGTCCCTGGAGAGGGGACCTTCATGTCGGAATGTGGCTTCCTGATATGGTACAGCTTTGAGTGGTATTGAGGCACAGAGAGATATTGTGAAGGTGAGATAAGGTGAGGCAAGGTGTGCTCGGTCGGCCTTGTTGGTTGAGTTGGCGACATTCTACTTTAGGCTTTGACGACCGGCTGGCCAGGGCCAGTAACATCGTAACGTCGTAAATGCAGAGCTTCGCTGCTCATCCATGCTCGAGTCTGCCACAGCCCGAATGTTCAGTACTGTGTAGTATTCTAGTGTGCCATATCGTAAGGTGCATTACGGCAGGCAGACCATTTCTCGTGGGCTGGAACGGAGCAGAGCCTCCCTTCTGCTAAGAAGATTTTAGCGTGGAAGCGGCGAGAGTGATGGTTCCTTTGAGATGCTTGAAGGGTTCAAAGACCGAGTTAGCGGCGGCGGAGGATGGCCGTGATGTGCACTGATGCTTGGTCCTAGTTGCGGAAATACTACGTAGACGTGTCTATCCGTAGCCTTGTGGTATATGGCAGTTTCCAGCAAGGATAAGTGGTGTATTCGTACACTACAGCAGGAGGAGCGGAACATGGCGTAGATTTGATGTGGAGCTGAGAGCTGGACAGAGAATGGCGATGAGAATTGAAAAGGCATGGCTTCGCTGGTTGGTCAGTTCGTGCACCCCCCTCTGTTCTCTTGCGAAAGAAGTGATGACCCTGGCAACCTGGCTCGCATAGGTGGTGCAGACGCAGGTCCGACGAGAAGCGGATAAGCGCACTGGCTCGCAGGGGAGGGTTACATTGAGGAAAGCCCATCGTGCCCATGTCGTCTTGGCTTGATTCTTGGTCTGAGTCGCTGACCCAAACGGGGATATGCACGAGAGGGGAGGAGAGGAGGGGAGGCGACTGGATTCATGGATTGCAGTTGCAGCGCCGCAGCGGGCAAGTAGCTACAAAGAGGATTAGGGAGGCACGCCGCACAAGATGACATGATGTGGTGCGAGGTTCGAAGTTGCGTCGGCGAGGACGAGGCGGGAAAAAGCTGAGATGTGACTGCCGGTGGAGAGGGGATTGCGCGTTTCGACTTGCCTGAAGGGCTTGGAGATTTGCATTTTGCAGATATTGCCATCGTGGAACTGCAACTTGCAACTGCACCTCGACTACGACTGCGGTTGCGGCTGTGGCTGCGTCTCCGCATCCCGGGCTCTCTCTATCTCTGTATCCGTATCCGTAGGGTGTTTCTGTCTGTGCGAGAACCAACCTTACCGTGGTACCTACACCCGGGACGGCAGGCCAAAAAATAAAAAATAAAAAAATTGTCTGTGGTTATTTTGTCTTTGAGATGAAATCTATCCGGAGATACATTGTGGCCCTACCTTACCTTAGTCGCTGGGGTCCGTCTGTAAACTGTAGGCGTTCGTTGGTTGAGGGCGAGAACAGGCGAGCGCCAAGACTGGGACAAGAAAGATACTTGCCCGATCTGTGAAGGTACCGCGGCCGCCTGTGCGTCGAGGAAACCACAAGTATCTTTTTTGTGTCTCTAGTTCCCTCCTCTTTCCCTGCTCCGGGCTTGACTAAGCCAGCAGCAGCTTAAGCCAGTCCTCCTCCTCCACAGTCCCTGCCCCTCCCACCAGAGTCGTCTTCGTCTTTTTTTCCTGTCTTGTCTTCCGTACGCCGTATTCTCTGCATGGATTCGAAGGTCGTCATCAGTGATCATCCACAATAGGTAGTCGTGGTTTGGCCTAGAAATTCATCGTCGCTCAACTGCTGGCCTTTGCGGCTTCCCTTCTCCTCTCTTCCTTGGCCTGAGGCACGAAAGTACTTTGTACCCGTTCGCTTACCAAAGCTTGGCGGCTGTTCTCCATCGGGAACCAGATTCAGCCAGTGCCCGTTCCGTCGGAAGGTGGCAGGCCCGTAACTCTTGCGTAAGGATACGTGCCTACCCATGGGAGATCTGGACCTTACAGATAAGGCAGGGACACTTTGAGCAACTTGAAAGGTACCTCAACGCCCGTACCGTTCGCCGTTTGCCTTTTGGCAGGAGCCACTGATTAATGTTGCTCTGGCCACACTACAGTCCGAGGGCCTCGATCGTCTCGGGCATCTTTGGATTCTCCCATGTTGGAATCCGCACACAAAACATCCACCCACTTTTGCCATTTCACCACTCCCCGGTCCACGCAACATGGACAGTACGTACGTCTAGCCGTGACAAGCCGATAAACGCCCTTCGCAACCTCATCATCGACGGGGAATATCGTCGACAAATGGCATTCCTGATATAACGCCAGTGCAGGCCATGACAGGTCATCGGCCGTGTGCACTTGAGGTGTGGTTCCATCCAACGTCAAGTCTCGAATGTCGCCCTCTGCTCGCCCTTCCATGCCATGCCATGCCATGCATGATTGCTGAGTATGCTCCGGCTGCTTATCATCGCACGTCTATTTCCTCTTTCTGCCGCTGCACCATGGAAAGACCAGCACTAAGAAGGAAGAGCCACCAAGCTAGCAAGGCCGTCTTATCATCGTCCTCGTCGTCCTCGTCCTCATCCTCGGTCTCAGGTCGTAGAACCACAACCCGTCCCCATCGAATCTAGGCCTTTGTTTTTCGCTCGCGCTGTCGGCGCTTGTCCCTGGCCATTGCACGCCTCTGTTCGCCCGGTTTTGCTCCGTCGTCTATTGACAACCCTCGGCCGCCACTTTTGACACATTTGACAGATCCAACCAAAATCGCCTTCTCTTGCCTATCCGACATTGCGTACCTCTTCGTGCACGACTTCGTACTTGCCGTGTTCCCGTTGATTTTCCTACGGGCTCTTGGTCGCCGTCATCCCCAATGCGTCTTGACTCATGCCGTCGCATTGGCTCGCTCCCCATCACCTCACGCTGGAGAGTGTGGCACCATCAATTGGAGAAGAACACTCGATGGACCAACAAGAATCGCCAGTCTTGAAATATTTTCTCAAGAATTTTCTTCCTTCGAGGAACAAGTCATTCGGCAGACCCAATTCCTAGCTATTATTGGTCCTACCTCGCATGTTGTCATAACTCACTCTGGATGCCGGATTTACCACTGACGAATTCCGGCATGAATCAAGGCGTTGCAGGTGTTGCAGACAATCGCAACCCCCTCTACAAATGCAAGCGAGGTTTGGAACCAGCTCATTGTCAGGATTCATGCATGTCTCTCAACGCAACTCCCCCGAGCCGGCTCTGACTGCTACTCGCACGATTCACAGAGCTACAACAGCGATGCATCAATGGACACTGCCCGAGTCCAGGATACTTCACGCAATCACCTTCATCACACCAATTCGACCCACAAGAATTTTCGACACTTGTGACAAGTTGACTTGTGTAGTGATTCGGGGTATTGAAATACAGTCAGATCTGAACATGATTTGGTGAGTACTTTTCTTGTCCTCTCCACAGCATCCTTTGATTAGTTTCCCACTTCCGATCTGGTGCAGGTTCTAAAGCCTCAAAACACGCGTATCATGTCGTGCATCTCTGCGTCTGCGTCTCCTCTCCCCCGTACCGGTCCCGGCGTACGGATGTCTAGCATATACTACTTCGCGACCCCTAGAAGAGGAGTCGAGAATAACGTTCTCCATTAATCCCAACCACTACGAAACACTTTGAGATTTGGACGCTGTCTTACCTATGTCATCAGCAAGCCTCTTTTCGTCCACCTGCAGCAATGACAAGGCCAGGGGTCCGAGAGTGAGGGAGGGGGAGGGGCAGCCTGGCAGGCCTCGTGTCAAGCATCGGAACACAAGGTGGGCGGGCTGCTTGATAACGTAAACAAGGACGCAAACCAAGATCCCTAACCCATCAGAAAGGCTGTCTAATTGTACTGTACTTCTTGATCTCACAGTTCGAGCCTCCGCTCTCTGATTGGGCGCCATAGTGTTCGATCTCACCCATCCATCTACCTATACATCCATCTGCTACAGCTCGAAGGTCGACCTCCTGCTTGGCGTAGTGGCTCGCAGCAGTCAGGTCTTGGTTCTTCTCGATAACCAGCGATCGATAGCTGGGAACTCCGACCTCTTGCCTCCGAGTGTCCCGACATCTTCGATCCGGAAACTTTGGCCCTGCGGGGTTTTTACGTGCCCACGGTGCCCTCAAAACATCACCTGCCTCGTTGCCCCCGTTGAGTGTGGGGTGCTCGATTATCTTAGCTTGGCCTGCTAGCCATCCTAATCTAGCCAAGTCTCGAACCGTTCCATGAACTAGTAGGGATGGAGGGGTGTAGGGTTCAACTGATGATGGTGGGTGTGAGATCTCATTCTTCAAGGCAACCACCACCACGACCACCGAAAACTAGTCGCACGTACTCAGTCTCACGAGGCTAGTCGTCCCAGCCAGCCCGATGTGAGTCAAGAGGGGCGCATCTGACGAAGCATCCAAATGCCACAGGAGAGCACATGGACGATGTCCAAGACTCGAGATGAGCAGGAGAACACCATCACTGCCACAAAGAGTCACAATAATCAACCCCGAACCGCTATCATTCCTCAGCTTGTCGTCTTCGGGCAAGCCTTGCGGCAAACGACGGCCAAACCGGAGCCGCGTGCTCGTCTGGGCTTTAGACCCCCCTCCAGATTCTCCACACCCACCAGCCTCACCAAGGACGTCATGTAAGACAATATCACACACCACTCCACTGTGGTAACGAGGCGCCTGAACATGGCACAGCCTCTCCCCCAACATCGAAATTCGATTTTCAAAAGGGACAGAAGAAGCCCTTGAGACCAGGCCAGACCTTTCCGGCCGGAGAATTAGTGAACAAGGTAGGCATTCGCATACCTTGGCCCTGCCGTGTAACCGGGGGTCATGTCGTGGGGTCCGGTCCTGATGAGAAGCCACACACACACACACACACACACACACACACAAGTATCGCATGTCAGATATCGCGGGTTTCCCGGAAACCGTTTATTGGGGGCCAACACCATGGCGGGATACGAGACTGCGCGTCAAATCACCCTGCCGTGTAACGAATGCCACCAACCTTCACTTTCCCCCCCCCTGACGCGCGGGACACACGTCGTGCTTGCTGCTCGTTTCTTCTTCCTGGGGAGCCCCCCGATCCAACTAGTCGATCCCCCAGTTCGTCAGGATGCAGGGACATTGTATTCCCATTGGCTCGGTAACCCTTTCTTTTTTCCAACTTGTGTTGAAGAAAGATATGCAGCTGCCCGACATCACACATCGCATCATGAACTACTGACCATTAGTGGAGTCAAGGAAATCCCACGAGCCTCATTTTCTTTGTTATCACTGTGGAAATTTTGCTTTCTTCTCTTCAGTCTATGGAAAGCTGTCTCTTGGTCTGAGTGGAAAGAAGATGGAATAATGGTAGAGACCAACTGTCTAATGCCTTGCCGTCCTCTCTCTCTGGGTGTCTTCCCTGACTTCCCATTTCTCGCAATGCATCGAATAAATGCCTCCGACGAAGATCAAAGCTGCCTGCCCTGTTGCCCGCCGCGCGATGTACCTTTTCCGACTACCTCTCTTTCGTTTCTGAAAATGAGGAGAAGGAAAAAAAGAAATCACAAAGACTTATCCTCCGCCCTCGCCGATTTTGGAGTGTTTTTGGTAAGGAAAATGAAAGAACAAAAGAGACCAAGAGTTGAGAAATCCAGGGAGGAAAAGTTTATCCCTGAAGCAGATGACCAAACCACCCTATCCCTGCTCTGCCATGCTGAATGGTTTCCATGCCGTTGATGATTATACTCTTGACACGCACTTCTGTGCTGTAGTTCCATTTCCCGTATGCGATCGTTCGTGTACTCATCGTGAAGAGGAAAGAACAACAAGACTTTTCCCGTTCCAAATTCCTTTTGGGTCGGTGATTTTTGTTTTCCGGAAAAGAGGCGCAAAGAAAATGAAGAAAAGGTAATTGGTTAACCCTTTTCGTTTCCGCCCTTCAGGAAAGAAAACATAAGAAAGCCACCCAAGCCAGAGTCCCGTTTCTCCTCTGGCAAACCAATTTGTTGCAAATTCATAATTCGTGATACTCGTGGTCGCTTAGGATCTAGTCCGTGGGGTGCTCCAGGAGGGAGAAGGTGACATGAGGCGCCTTGATATCCTTCGCGGGGAAGGTGTTCATGCGGACAGTCTGGGGTCGGCGCGCCTCGTTGGCCGGGCGGTGCCAGTCGGAGACCTTCTCGGTCATCTGGCGCTCGAAACGGTAGCGGACGAGGTCCTGGCCACCAGGGGGCGTGGTAAGACTCATGGCTCGCTTGGGGCGGGGAGTCAGACGGATGTCGTTGTTAATATCACCATCGGCTCTGCTGCCCCAGGAGGTCTGTTGACAAGGTGTTAGGAAAGCTAATACTATGTCATGTGCGAGAAGTAGTCACTTACCATCTTGAGGGTAGACAAGGCGTAGAGCTTGATAATGCCATGAGCCCATCCGAAAAGGATAGAGACGGGCAGGAAGAGAATGTCGCTGGGGTTGCGACGGAAGAGGTTCACGAGCTTGACGACCTTGGTGAAGCCGAACACGAAGATGATCTGAGCCCAGAGGGCCTGGCGGCGGCTCTCGACATCCCAATCGGCGGTACCCTTCCACAGAGTGAAGATGATGAGGGGGTCGAAGAGGAATGCCAAGGAAGTGAAGGTCGCAATGTGGAGAGCGTAAGTGCACCAGGGCTGCTGACTATAGTCACCATGGATTAGCATATTATACCGGGCAAAGGGAGGAATCCCAGATAGGTGTTTCAACTTACGTGAGAACGTATCTCTCACGGACAAGACTGGTCCAGTTGCTGCGCCAGTTGCTGCGGGCCCAGCGGGAACACTGGTAGAGGAACTTGGTGCTGTTCTCCAAAGTGGTCTCGAGTTCGCACTCCTTCTCGTACTGGATCCAAGTCTTCCACTGGTGGCTGACAAGCCAGCGGGTGACGAAGTTGTCATCATCGGCGTTGAGGATGTACTTGCCCCACTTCTCGGTCTTGAAGCCCTCGAGGAAGTCGTGGCTGGAAAGAATCTCAGATCGGTAGGCGCCAGTTCTGCCAGACATGCAGGAAGTACCGCCATCGAGGTTGTGGGTAGCCGAGATCTCGAAGTTGCGTCTCTCAATGTAGGCAGCGCCGAGCCAGTTGAAGATGCGAGTGGACAGCGGCCCATCCCAGACGCGCTTAACTCTCTGGCAAGTGCCGACACCGCCAATCTTGGGGTCTTCGAAGGGAGCGAGAATCCAGGGCATCATAGTAGAAGGCCAGGTGACATCATCATCGGCCATGATAGTGAGCTTGGTGGTAACCTTGGGCAAGGCCTCGCAAACTTGAAGACGCTTGTTGGCAATGGGAGTGGAGTAGACCTGGACGTTAGGGTGAGGCAGGCTGCGAGCAAGCTTCTCAAGGGAGGCATGCTTCTCGCTGGTAGTAACGAGCATCAGAACGCGAGGGTTGCAGGCAATGATGCTGAGCAGAGAAGGACGAAGCTCCTCAAAGACATTGTGAATGGTAGGGATAATGACGGTCACGTCGTCAGCTGTGAAGGTAGGGTTGGCAGGGATCGGCTTGGACTTGTAGACCCAGTGGCTGACGCAGTTGACAAGAAGGCGGGTGTAACGATGAAGCCTGCCAAGGAAGGTTAGATACACGGGACGGCAAAAGCAAATAAAAAGCAAAGCAGATCGTTGATGGCAGCAGCAATGAATGTGGATTTTTGTGAGGGAAGTAGTGACTTACCAAAGGGCGATGAACAAATACATCCAGGCGGTGGGAGACCAACCAAAGCCGAGGTTGGGCAAGAAGAGATTCATGATGTCTGCCATCGTGAATTGCTTCCTGCGGTTGGAGAGTGCGCGTGCGCGTGTCTCTGAGGTAATTCGGAGGAGGTTGTAAGAGGGATTGGTGGTGATGTGAAGGAAAACCAACAAAGCCGCAATGCAAGGAATTGCGTGCGTGGTTGTTGGTTGTTGAGGGTGAGGAGAAGAGGAAGAGGACAGGAGAAGGAGAAGGAATTGGGTTTTTTGCCTTCTGGTCCAAAGAAATTCTCAAAGGGTCGGAAGGTGGCAGGAGGTCCAGGTCTTGGAGTGTGCCTTCCTTCTCAGAATATCGTCCTGGTGAATTGAACGAGTCCCGTGACTTCTTCTTGGATTTGCCCTTTGGTGAATATGCCTGTTGCGTATTCAGATGAAATGGTCCACTTTTTTGTTTTCTGACCGAGGGGTGAAGTGTGAGGTGTTTTGCTGAGGTGAGGCAGCCTGAGAACTTCCAGCAGTTTTCAAGATGGTACCCAAGGTGATGTGAATGTGAGAAATCTAGGTAGTATCTCCAATTTGCTCTGCTCTGTACGAGGTACCACGCTCGTAGTTCTAGAGTAGTGTGTGGTGATGACTGTCGAAAGTCCCGAGTGATGAGATTTTTTTTGGCCCGATCTATGTGTCGTCGTGCTGCTTCCGAAGCCAAGTCCTGCTCTCGCTCTATCTTCAAGTCTCTTCTTCTTTTCTGTCTAGAAGGACCCTAACGATCGAGGTAGTAGATCGGACTAGCAGAGCGCCTTGTCTGTGTCCGTCGTTGGAGGTGGTATCAAAGAATGACACGGGCAAGACGGGAAGGACCAACACCCAAGCCGCGTGTATGGGATGCTGGAGGCAGGGGGGGGGGGGGATTTCGAGAAGGGGTCCAAACAAAGTATTATACAGAGATGAAAGATGGCAATGGAAACTCAAACCATTGCGCGGACCAATTGGTCTTTTAAAAAACAACAATGACCCGGGGAGAAGAAGTGGTGATGAGGTCGTCCGAGGAGAGTAGGTCGTCCTGGGGCGAGGGACAAGGATATATACGTAGCCAGATGTGGTGGAGGGTTGGCAGGCATGCATGGGTTGTTTAGTTTAGAGATGCGCCCATGCATGGAGACGGTAATGGTGGCTCCATCCAAACAAGGCAAAAAAAGTACTGGATAGGTATGGATGGATGTGTCTAATGTGTGGTAATGGATTATGGATGTACGGACTTGTCGACTGGACTTGTCTAAGATTGTGGTGCAAGAAGGCAAGCCGATGGGTCTTGAAGGTACTTCGTCTAGACTGGCACCTACTTCGCGGCCTGTTTTCTTAGCTACACCACACTTCACCACTCACTCTCCAACAGATAGACATGCATCACGTTCGTCTGTAAGGGTATTGGGGCAGAGACGAGGGGCAGAGACGAGGGGAGGGGTGCGCGGCGGTTGTATCGGGGTCGGGGAGGAGAAGGGGAGGGGTGAGCATGTTGATGGATGGGGGTGCGAGGGGGGGCGTGTGCAGATGCGCCAGTTGCAGAAAAAAAAAAAAACAGAAAAAGAGAGAGAGCCAGAGAGAAAGGCAGAGAGGCGTTCAAATCGTCCATTGTCTCTCACCCAGACCATGGACTAGAGACCCCCAGCCCGTTCCCAGAGTACGAAGCAGGTACTTGTGCCTACTTGGAGCGAAAGAGTCCACAACCGCAACCCAAGTATCTTTTCCTCCCCCTCCTCCCACCCACTCACTCACTCACTCCCGTCTTTCCCTCTCTCACTGAGTGAGTGTGTGTATGTGTCTCTGTCTCTGGTGCTGCCACCACCCTTCTTGCCTCCCAGCTGCGTCTGCCGCCGCCGCTACTACTGCAACTACGTCTTCGCCTGCTGCTGCTGCCTCTTGTCTCCAACACTGGCTGGTTTGACGACCGGCTAGGCATGGGCTGGGGCCCTGGTGGGTGCAGGTGCAAATGGGGCCCAGAGGCTGGCTTTTGTGGCACCGTGTTGGGACGACGCTTCTTTAGCAAGCATCCAGATAGCCTGCAGTGGGCAGGCAATTGTCTTCCCATGTACGCATCGCACCGATTGGCATCAGCACTTGCGAACAGTAGCGCTGCGATATGTCCTCGCATTGCATCGTTTCCCATCGCACCTCGACGGCCGTCCCTCGGCGCGCCGTCAACGGAGAAGTGTCAAGAAACGGGAAACATGATTTGGGGCCATCCGGTCTGTTGCCCTACAGGCTACCCTGCTCTCTCTCCTCGTCTTACTTCCTTGTTGATGTCTGTCTGACCTGCAACAGCAGTGAGGCAGTTCCGAGAATGGAGGTGACTGCTGGAGTCAACCAAGGAACACGGACCATAATAATCGTCGAGGACCCTCGAACCTCGACCCTTGAAGCGAAACAACACGATAGGGACATAGTAGTAAGAGGCGGCTGGAGTTGAGGATACTGGCTGGCTGGCTGGTCCCTGCCCTCTCCTCTCCCCCTCCCCTCCTCTTCTTGGCCCCATCACGCTATGAATGGCGACTGGGGAAACGCGAATCACAGGGCGGAGGCGATCTGGTGGGGAGGGGAGCGAAACGACACGGCAGCCTGTGGAGGCTGTTTGAGGGCATAGCTTGAAGAAACATAAGAGGGGGACGAGGAATATGAGAGGCGACGAGAAGCGACAAGACTCACAAGAGAGGTTAGCATATTATTTTTATTTTGTTCTTTTATCTTTTCGGGATAGGTACTCTGTAGTACTACTGTATAGTAAGACTGGCAAGCCGCAAGAGCCTACTGTAGCGCGCGAATAACGCCATACCCTGCGCACTAAAGAGGGTCTGCTTGCCTTGGTTGGTTGCCGTACTCCATTCTCCATGGTTGAGCGGCTAGTTGATGTGGAAAATGGCAGCACGGCGAGATTTGGAGATCCACTGTTTGGGTGGGCAGATTCCATCATTCGTTTGAGTACGACCGGGCATCTGCACATCCAGAGACAAAAGGTGGAGAGCTTCTGGAGGAGCTGCTAGCGACAAGGACCAGGAACAGAGCCTTTCCGTCAATGGTCTCGATTCTTGACCTGAAAAGTTGCAGCAGACCGAGGGTAATGACCAGGGCCTGGCGGAACAACTTTAGGCGAGGTCGAATCAACGGCCCGGTAATGAGATGGCTCAATACCTGAGAAAGCTGGTGGAAATCATGGGAAGAGGAACATTGGAGGCAAGAGAATGAATTTCGAAATGTCCGACTCGGCCTGTCCACCAGCAGCAACCTGAAGACAGCATCAGCAGTATCCGTAGGCCGTAGGAAATAGTAACCTCATAGGCAGAGTAACTTAGCCGCACACAGACTCTTGCAATGCCCGGGAGGGGTAAAATCTTGAAAAAATTGGAGAAAAGCAGCCATGAGAAAAACGTCGGCTCGCCATCTGTACGCACTGACAACCCCCCCGGCATGGCCTGGGCCGTTGTAGAGTCTCCAGTTTTCGCATCTGACAAACGGACGGCCGGCGTGGAGTCTCATTGAGCGGATGAACAAGCATTCGTGCTGCTTATTATGGATACCCGTCCCTTGGCCCATTATGAAGCAGAGACCGGAATGAGCGTACGAAGCCAGACAAGAGTTAAATCCGGCTCTGCCTGCTACGGCTTCTGTGTCTTGACCATGCCTCTGCCGCGTACTGGGGCTCTCAAATGGTACCGAGGACATTATCTCTCGGACCTGCAGGTCCCTCAACTGATCCTTCATGAGATATCAGTCCGTCGAACTCCTTGTTCCTTTCCCCACCCGTCGGTTGGTGGTCAAGGACCGTGGAAGAGGGTGCATACGATCGTGTACAAATAGGCAGACGCCAGGCTAGGTGACGCCAGGTTTGCTCGAGTGCTGCTTTTTGAGAGCACACAATGAAGAGTCTGACTCTTGATGGAGGGCCATTGTCGCTCTGGAGATTCTGATATCTGATGGATGATGCAGCCAGGACCGTGACAGACGCAGTGCCGTCGCTTTTGCACTCACATTCTTCAGTCTGACCTGCCACATTGCGATGACCGGACCGACAGGGTTGGCGTTCCATGATGCTCCTAATCCTTGCCTGACTTGGCCGGGGCGGATGCTGTTTTCGTGATGATAACGGCCCCGGGGTTCGTCCTCGCAAAGAGGCGCGAATATTTCCCGTAGCTTGTAGATCGCTTGGCTTGGGGTTGGATGAATTGACCAGACAGAACGTGCACAGGCTGGGCCGAACAAGCGAAAAGAGCCACTGGCCCCCATGCTACGTTGTCCTGTGCTTTACTGAGCTGCGGAGTGCGTGCTGGGGTGGTGGAGATTTGGCGGATAGTATCCATCAATCATCAGCAAGCCAGTCGGTTTCCCGTCCCATTCCTGGTGGCCGACGGGAGGAGGAAGTGGAAGGCCAGAAACCCATTCTTTGCCAGAGACCGGACCGGATGGGATGCACTGATACTGGATTGGCACACCCACCGCGACCGCTTCCGTGCCGGCCGAGCAGCAGGGCGTTGCCAAACTGTTTTGCGTGAAAAAACAAGTGCGTAGCGGCAAATGACATTTATTGCTGGTAAATATGAAGAAAGGCAGCACTTCATGCAATCAGGTCGTATGCGGGGCTGCATCTGGCTTGTGCCGGCCGCTATCTCGGGGTCCTTGACATCCAAGTCTTCCTTGAGTCTAGTAGAGGCAGGCCACATCAGGCCGGACCGTTGTGCTGCAGACTGCAAGCCATGAAGCCGCGAACTTGATTTTGACCCTAGAATTGATAAAAGTTGCGAATTACTTGCATTTGCGTGAGACAGTGATCAGTCCATCCTTCAAAAGTTCGAGCCTGACATCAGAAAGCACTCGCATGGTGTATGTAGGAGACGACAGGGACGAGGCAGCATGTGGATGGACAAATTAGGTGTGGTGTGCGAGAACAGCAAGTAGATGCTTTATGTCTGACTGTCGTGATCTCGATTGAACACGAGCCGAAGAAGAAGAGACGAAGACTAGCCGCATCAGGACGGGAGGACGTCGTGCCTGTTTCCTAGAGCAGATGGGTATCCGTAATCGCATGCTCTTTGGGATGGTATGGCGTGGGCCCGGAGTTGCCTCGCAGACATTGAGGGCAGACGGGTGACGGGGGCTGGAGGTGGCAGCCAGATCGGCCGTTCGGCAACGGCTGCCACATTCGGGTGCCCTGTTTGGTGAAGCCGTTGAGGATTGTGCAGCTCGTCAATGAGCCATGATCAGATCCCGAGTCTGTCAATCCGTTCAATCGACCTGGGGGGGTGCTAGACAAGCGAGTAAGGTATTGCAGGTACCTTGAGAGCGACGCATTAGCGAAGAAAAGGAAACTGATGGATGACGAGGGGGGGAAAGTAAAGGAGGGGAAAAGAAGATGGATTGCATATTGGCAGAGTCGATCCTCCGTTGTGGTTGGGGGAGGCGGCGGAGCGGCGGAGAGACATTCCATCAAGGCGGGCGGGAAGATGGAGATAGTGTGATAGACACAAGTGCAGGCCGGACCTTAGTATTAGGATTGGCATCTTTAGTTTGTGACAAAAGACCAGGAAAAGTGTGAAGAGTACCTCAGCATACCAAGTGTTGTATAGTATATACACTATACGGATACAGATGTGAGATTTGAGATGGCAAGATTGCCTGCCGTGTGTAGGCGTGACTGTGAGTGGCTCCGGCTGGGCATGGAGTGCTTGAGTGGCTCTTTGGAGCGACTTGCCGGGACCTGTCTCAGTCTATTTTGGCACCTCATGATTGAATGTCTTGGATGGAGACGGTTGAGCGAAGGCCGGACCTTAGCGGCTCCAGTGACGACTAGGTAGAGATGCCAATGATAAACGGGTGTGAGGGCGGGACGGAACAAGGTGGAATGTGACGTGAGGCAAGTGAACAGTTGACTCGGCGTATGGGGTGGCCTGGACCACAACCGGTGGTGTCCATATCTAAGGATGGGACTGAGGTTGGTCATCCATTGTCCATCCCATGGATGGGAAAACAAACTGGGTGTGTTCGTATGTAAGGTATGTGATGTGAGATGAGGAAGTGTGTGTGCGAGAGCGGGTGCGTGTGGTGAGGTGGTCCAGATGACATAGCTCGGTGGCTCAGGTCCCAACCACGATTGCGTGGTTATCTTCCATTTTCTTTTCCATCGTGAGGAAAGAGGTGAGGCAGGCAAGGAAAGACAGGTAAGGTAGGTACGGAAGGCAGGCGAGGTACCTTGGAGAGGTTCCCACGGAAGTCGAGGCAGGGTAGGTGAGTTGGTGAGGTACCTTTGGAAGGCACGCACGTAGGGAAGGAAGCTTCATCGAGAAGCTCACCTCAGAGTGGCTACCTTCCTTACCTTGCCTCGACAATCGGATCCCAAGGCGGGCAAGTGTCTGTCCGTCTTCCCCGGTCTTGCGGCTTGCCTTGCTCCTCCTGCCTTGCACAGTGCACCTTCCTTCCATACCTAAGGCAAGGTAAGGTAGCACGTTCCTACCCCGGATTCCGAGCCTGCCCTTGCCTCAATCTTTCACTTCTCAGCCCCGACTGCCTCATATGTCTATGAATCCGAGTACCAAGGTAGGCACCTGCCTGCCTTAGGTAAGCTACATGAGGCTCTCGCCATTCTATCTTATGGTACCTAGGTAGGAGGATGAGGTATCAACAAGAATGGCTCAGGTACGACGGACCATGAAGAGATATATCCACAAGAACGAATGTCAGTCGACCCAAAGGATCCTTTGACGTACTCTCAAAATACTAGCCTCTTGGCCACGCAATGTATCACTCGTTTGCTTCTGTACCGCGGATGCCAATTTCTTTCGGCTGCTGCGAGGGGCATTGCGCCTGCAGCTAAATGAATGATGCATGGGCTTCCTCCCGCCCCCCAAGCCCAAGTTGATTTGATGCACACATCATTCGTCCGTCGACTATCTTCAGAGCCATCTGTCACTTCCCTTCTCTCAGGAGATACGCTTGGCTGCTCATTTGCATAGAGGTGGTAGATTGTTCCTTGACACTGCTGCTCTCTAGCTACCTTAATGTAACTCGACACAGGTTGCTCAGCTACCTTGCTTACCTAGAATACGCTCTGGTCTGTCTTACAGTTTACAAGCCATCTCCCACCAGGCGTGATTTTTGCCGCTTACCTATCTGTCAGACAACACCATTCGCTATGGTTCTTCATCCATCAGCCAGCCCTTACTAGCCTTCGGCCCGGCAAAACGCGCATCGGACGACAGCGAGCGAGATGACGCCTGGTGCCCCTCCACGCTCGGCTGAGATACGGATGCAAGAGGCATGGATGCCTTCAACCTCGCAGGCGGCAGCATACTCTATTTCTCCTACGGTCGGTCACTGCTGCAATTTCCAGATCTTGCCTCGCCTCGCCTCGCCTCGGCCTCCTGTCCCGTACGCAATGGAGCCGGCGGCCGCATGCGCCGTTCGGCAACAAGGGCCTCGAAATGAACTACCCCCGGAACCTCCCATCTTCCTTGCCTCTGGCGAGCCCGGCCGTGGACGGATGCCAGTCAGTCAATGTCCGCTCCTGGCTGACCCATTATCCGTATACGAGTACTACCTACTACGCCGTACGACGATACTCCTCCGGTCCTTGACCATCGTGCAACAAGCTACAGATACAATCAAGAGTATCCATATTCTGTCCGCTTACGACTTAATCATGTCATCTTCACCAGGGCCAACCGCCGCCGCCGCCGCCGCCTTCGTTCAAGCCGCAGCTTCCGTCAGAAAGAATACCTTGCTCTTCCCAATGCTTGACAATCTACAAAGTATCCCGTTTCTGCCTCGTCGCAACGGGGCCGTTGAGCGCCAGCTTGAAAACAGCACGGGCGTGTGTCAACAAAGTACCTTGCTATGCCTCTTGGGAGCTACTGTGCCTACTTTGGATGATTACGCCCTCCGACGCTCACCATCAACCAGCATCGAGTAGAGGAGGGACATGGTGCGCTGCATCTGGCCCCATCGGGAACTTGCTAAGAGCCCACCACAGATCACCGTCGCAGGGAAGCTCGCCGTTAGCTCGACATTACGACGTCCTTGGGCGTTGGTTCAATGGCTCGCCGCACCCTCCGGTACGATGCTGGTCGGCTACGACGCCTTGGCTGGCATCTGATTCCACCACTTTGTCAACCACATTCCGTCACCCAATACCTCTGCTTCCAATTCCATGCACTACCGAGCCAATGGATGCCATCCCGGCTTCTGTGCAGCCATACCAATGGCCACTACGCCAGTCGCAACACTGTCGCTGTCCGTCGTCCGCGTTGGATTCCAGAAGCATGAGTGGGCCCGAATCTGTGTCCGAGCCTTTGGTCTTCCATCACATTCCGCCATCAGCACCCTTAGAAATTAGGGCAATTGGAGTGATTGAATCTCGCATGGCAGAGCTGCCGTCGATGCTTTACAATAGCCACTGTTACTGCACTGCCGAGACTTGTTTGCAGGACCACCGTCAATGGAAAGCCGCACCTGTTGATGTACGTCGAACTGCATTGGCCCTTTGGACGGCAATTGAAACGACTCATCGTACGGATACATATAATCCACTAGCAGCCAACTTGTCGGCCACAGCGTGACTTGACATAGAAAAGTCGTCAAGTAAACAGGTTGGGGCTCAGTGGCCACTGCGAGTCATGGCTTCTCGTGCGATTCTGGGCAGCCTGCGACTCCGGCTGATTGCGGGATAAGCCCCTCGTCAACCTTTCCGCGGTCCGCACGCCTCCAGGCCGAGCCGACATGAGCGGGACCTCCGTCCTCAAGACACGCGACCCAGGATCAAGTTTGTGGACGAGGGGTACCTACATCGGTGCATGCATTCAGCCCCCCTCTCTAATCGCCAGTCTGCCCAGCCTCGCTATCTTTTCCCGCGTCGCAGCCAGGTTCTTTCTGCAAGACGGCGAACGCTCTGGCGCAGAGAGGTACGAAAGATTCATTGCTTGTTCTCTGTCTTCGTGCTACGGATACATATGAGCCATAGCATGTTTGGTCGAGTCCTTTGCCTCTAGGCCGCAAGGACGTTGGAGCGGTCTTAGCTATATCACCAATACTGTGTTCGAGGGATGCATCGGAGCCATGGATAAACGGATCATGGTAGACCACAAAAAGAGGCCTTACGTGCCCTATTATACGCATCATCGCCCGCCCTTAGTCAACCTCAAAGGGTCGAGGCTCACGGAGACGTTATGCCCGGGGCAGCAGATCGTCGCTTTCCCTTGTTAATTTAGAGCGCAAATCGCGACTGATACTCTGGGGCAGAGACCAGGGATCTCCCCAGAATGTTTTAGCTCCTTCGGACAACAATCCATGTACTCCTCCTGGCGTGCTTGAAGAATGCACACGGCCACCCGGTTCGGATGACACACGGACCTTAGCACGGTGCAGGCGTCAACTGAGAAACGTCTGAAAATCAAGACCCCGGAAACTGTCCGCACAACTAGCAGCCGCAAATTCGCAACAGCTTGTACGACTAAACAAGGCAGCTGTTCGAAGCAGAGCTCCATACCAAGAGGATCTTGTTCCTGGACAGAGTATGCTCTTGCTGGGTTCTACGCGCTACTATGGTCTGAGGAGAACTTGGAAACCCAGAAAGACCTCTGCAAAATCGAGCCGGCAAACGGACGGATGTCCCCCTCTGGATTTGAGGCAGAGGAAGGATGTGACACAACCTCACTCATCGCTCTGCTCTGTCGGACGGTTTCTTCAGGGTCCACTGTCTTGCCTATGCTCACACACTCCCTTGACGGGGACTGGAACGAAGCTTGAACCCACTCGGAAAACTCTGCATAGAGTCGCGGCATGAATATGCACACTGTCATATCGTCTGGCGACTTCATTCCTGCCTCTAAGAGGGTGGCTTTCTGTCACTTTGTGAGCTGTCATGTATTTACAGAATAGTCGCAGGTGCCGTCCGTATTGCAAATACACATCTATTTTGAACGTGCTTACAAGCTTCTCGTACAGAATCCTGTCAATGACGCACCCTAGAACCGCGACATGCTCAGCGCGAGACGAAGACGAAGTCAAGTCAACTTCCAAAGCTCAGTATCCTGATTTCTTAGGGCGCAATGCTATCTTGTGGCCTGATTAGATCGCGATCTGATGCGACCAAAACCAAGGGAAGATCAGAGCTGGCATGAACACCTCACATCTCAGCTGTTCGCCGACTCCACAGTGTCAAGGTCCCTGCACTATGCAGTGTAATATACACAACTGTCGGGCTTGCCATCACTGATACCGGCTCTGCAGTCAACCCTCATGGTGGCCAACATCGGAACTGCGGGCAAGTTGCGCCGGCAGACCCGACGCGCTACAAGCCGGCATTCGTCAATATCTGGGTCAAGAAGCAAGAAGAGGAGTCTAGAACACCGTTTCCTTCTGAAAGAGGCGCCCCAACCGCTCCCAAGCCACCGGATCCCCATGACCTGATGCCAGTAGAAGAGTTGCATGACAAGAATTCCAGCTTAATGAATTTCTCGTAACTTGCGGGCACCTTTCACTCCTCGGAGTAAAAGTTCTATCTGGAGGTGGCCAAGAACCCGGACGTTTCAATCGTTCCTCGGTGTTGTGGTGGTCACAGACTTCTTGTCGACCATGAGATGCCGTATTTTGGTTCACTTCTCGTTCGCCCTCACTTCTCATAGCATCATCTTAGCGACTACCGTCTCACCCCGACATTCCTGCGCAGCCTTCTTGGGCCTCTGTGGCTTATTGCGATTGTCTTTAATCGTTTCTCCGTCATCGTACATCAGGCCCCAGTCGTTTGGGTGTCGCAAAGGACGCTCGAGGTATGACCCTCATGGAAGGCTACCTAGACAGGCTTCAATTCCATATCCGGATGATCCATACACCCACGCGGCCTGTGATGGATCCAGGCCCTGATGACAGCGCATGGTGGTATGGGTGGAATCGTGCGGGAAGCGTGTACCGGGGAAGCAGGCAAGCACGTTCCGGAGGAGTCGATCTTGGATGATGCGCATCCAACCTCCCAGTTTCATGCAATCCCGTTGCTGTTTTGTCTGGATAAAATCCTATTGCAGCTCCAACCGTGCCTGGTGAGCCACACAGACGCCGTATGGGCATGCAGCCGCCAAGGAAGACTACTCTTGTGAGCAACTTCCCCCATTCTATCTCCGCTCTGTCATAATGAACTCAACCATTTGCTACGCCAGACGCACAAGGTGCATGTATGGCAGCGTAATGAGTTGTCCAATTTCTGACGCATGTCTCACAGGTTGCAAGGACCCGGGGTCGATGCGACATCGTCAATTTGGCAGTATCAGTACTGAAGATGAGCTGTCGTCTTTTCTATCCTGGACAGTTTCCAACGGCTTCTAGACACTCTGTAGTTGGTTCAAAACAACTTTAAGGGAAATGCGAACTTCACTCGTATACGGTAAGTCAGCAGCGTGTAACACACGACGCCTCCGATGGTGTCGTACACGCAGCGGCACGGCAACCAGGGCCAAACCCTCGCACAATTCTACGAGATTCTGCTAGCTGTGCAAATGGGCGGCACACCAGGAGCAGGAAAGCCTTCTGAAAGCTGGGTTCTGGAACCCTTAGATTTCGAGTCACACACGGGAGTATGCATGGTGACCTACGTGCCATTGTGCGACATGGCTGTTGAGGGCGATCGGACAACCGTCCGTAGGGCTACGATTTCCTTCGAACCTCTTGTTATCCTGAACATTTCGATATATCGGGGACTCATCAAGGCGTCATTCTCGTCAAACGATATCCATGATGATGTGCCATTGAGTCTGGTTGCTACGCGAAGGATAGAATGCCTGCCCAGAATAGTAACGATTGGAGCTGCATGGAAGGACTCAGCCATCGACCCAGACATGCCTAGGGCTCGCCCCTTTTGCCCCAGGTCAGTCAAACCTCAACATTGAGGCTCTCTTTCGTCAGGAACGAGTGGCTCGACACGCCTCGGGGACTTTCTTCCAGGCTGTCTCAGCCTATCTCCTGCGGCCCTAGAGTTTGACAGCCATGGGATCTAAGCGATTCGTGTCCTGGAGGCACAGCAGGGCGATCCAGCCGCTGGTGGGCTCGTTCAAGAACATGGGATACTTGTCAAGTGACTCTGGCGTCCTGCTCTTTCCTAAATCGACCCTTCACGCTATCTCGAGCCCTGTCCACCTCGTGAGGTGTACTCAAGATCACCGCCAACCTTTTCCACTCTCGCCACCCTTTCCCCGCAGCCCAGAGTCGTTCTCACGATGATTACTGGCGAGGTCCTCGGACCATCGACCCCGATTCCTCGAAGTGCTTACCGGATTCGTCTCGGGTACACTGGCGGGCATGCCGTGAGTTCTGGGATGAAGGATCCGGATCTGCAAGAGCCAGCTTCGAAGACGACTTCGAGGGGCTACAGGAGACTACCTCGGGGGTACATCTTTCACCCTGGAGACCTATTCAGACCCCGAATCTCACGCGAATAGCCCGTGTACTAAGACATGGTTATACGCTCCGTCTACACGGGGTGTCTCTGCAAGTGCGTCCCGTTCTGGTGCCAGACTGGGGACCACCCGGAGACCACCTGCACCCAGGGTATATCATCGGTTTCTGGGGGCCGAGAAAGCCCCCCTCGTACGACGATTCTGGACTTGGTGAAAAGGCTGTTTGTTTTGAGCGGCAGATAACGACGCCCCAAGTCTACACGTGGGTCCAGTGAGCGTCGTTGTAAGTCTGTCTTTTCAAGTGAAGGTGGGCCTTGCGTGAAACGGGCTTTGGCTTCCTCGCCGAGGGAGGGTCTTATGAAAGGCGAGCCGTGAGGGAGAACAATGGCTGGCTTCAGCTATGGCGAAGACGACGCGCTGTCCGTTGTCAAAGAGGAGTCAGTCCACTGTGAGCACGACGTACGAGGGTGGTTGCTGGTGCTCGCTCGAGGGTACATATGTGCCCGAGATATGACAAGTGTCGAACGAA